AAAAAGTGAAAAAATGTCCTCAGGTGAGGATAAAAAAATAAATAAATAAAAATAAAAATAAAAAAAGAATTCTAATAATCTGAATAAGAAGGTATCCGGATTAGTTAAGACTGTGGTGTCAATGTGAATCTTACTGCGGTTCTTGTTTTTAGGAAATACACTCCAAAGAGTGAGTGAAAATGGACATTACACCTGCAACTTCCTCTCAGATAGAAAGACAGAGAAATCAAGCAAATGTGGTAAAAAAACAAAAAAACAAAAAACAATGGAGAGCCTGGGTATGGGGAGTTCTTTGTACTAGTCTGGCAATATATTATAACCCTTAAGTTATTTCTAAATAAAAACAAACATTCTAATCCATTGATAGTATATATGAAATTCTTACTTATGAAATTATATGCTGTCTGGGTAGGAGACTGCAAGAGGTAATGGGTAGAACAGGTTTAACATAATGCTTGTAATTGCTAAACAAGATGGAGATGGGGGTTCCCTTGTTCTTAAAATACTCTAGCGAGGTGCCCAGCCGGTGTGGCTCAGTGGTTGAGCGTTGACCCAGGCACCAAGAGAATTGCCAGTTTGATTGTAGGTCAGGGCACATACCCAGGTTGTGGGCCTGATCCCCAGTGGGAGGCATGTGGGAGGTGGCCAATTGATGTTCTCTCTCATCAATGTTTCTATCTCTCTCTCCCTTCCCCTTCCTCTCTTCCCCTCTCTCTAAAGTCAATAAAGAAAAAATAGATAGATAGATAGATAGATAGATAGATAGATAGATAGACAGACATAATACTCAAGGGGGTTTCTGCCCCAGGGCCTTTGCACATTCTTTTCTTAGTGAATGAAACACCCTGTGCCCTACTGCTCCACTTCCGTTCCTCCCACTCAAGGTCCAGCTCAAATCTCACCTTTTCCCTTCTACTTCTCCCAGGTTTAATTTGCTCAACATGTATCTCAGAGACCTCAGACTGAGGGATGTAGATTCGCTTCAAGAAATAGAATGGGCCCTGGCCGGTTTGGCTCAGCGGTTAGAGCGTCGGCCTGCGGTCCTGAGAGACCCGGGTTCGGTTCCCGCTAAGGGCGCGTACTTCGGTTGCAGTTTGTCCCCGGCCCTGGTTGGTTGTGTGGGTGGCAGCCACTCAATGTGTCCCTTTCACATCGATGTTTCTCTCTCTCTCTCTGTTCCTCTCTCTCCCTCCCACTCTACCTGAGCAAAAAATGGAAAAATGTCCTCGGGTGAGGATAAAAAAAAAAAAAAAAAAGAAATAGAATGGGACAAGGTTCATGATAAACAGTAATAACCTACAGACAACAAACTGTGCCTGGCATGCTCTAAGGGCTTGGTGCGTGTTTAACTGAATTTCATTCAATTCTCAGAACAACCCTGTGAATTAGGTACCATGATTAGCCCTATTTTACAGGCACAGAGAGCTTGAGTAACTTGCCCGATGTTGCCAGTAGGAAATGGCAGAGAACTTTGGCAGCTGGGCCCCAGATCTAGACCCTTTATATTATTTTATTTTTTGGTACGTGCCCCTAGCAAGAACCGAACCTGGGACTCTCTGGTCCACAGGCTGATGCTCCAACCGCTGAGCCAAACCGGCCAGGGCCTCTAGACCCTTTAATACCACTCAGTCACAGGTAACAAAGTCAGGTAACCAACAAGGGGAGGCAAGGACTGGGGTACAAGAGCCAGGCCACATTTAGCAGACTGTCACCCTGCCCCATGGGTGTAGTTTATCAACTTTTCAAGAGAAACCAGAAATCCAGGTTTTATGTAAAATCACTCTTTTTTTAAATGTGTTTTTGTTGATTTTTTTTAGGGAGAGAGAGATCGAGCATTAAGTGAGAAACATCAATCAGCTGCCTCCTGCACACACCCTCCCGGGGATTGAATCTGAAACCCAGGCATGTGCTCTGACCGGGAATCGAACCGGGACCTCTCAGTCCATGGGACTATGCTCAATCCACTGAGCCACACTGGCCGGGCAAAATCACTCTCTTTTTAAATGCTGCCGACTACTGACAGAGAAATACATATATATACCCACATAAAAACATTGTTTTTTTTTTTTTGTTTTTTTTTTTTTGTTTTTATCCTTATCCGAGGACATTTTTCCATTTTTTATTCAGATAGAGTGGGAGGGAGAGAGAGAGAGAAACATCAATGTGAAAGGGACACATCGAGTGGCTGCCATCCGCATGACCCAAGCAGAGCTGGGGACAAACTACAACCGAGGTACATGCCCTTAGCGGGAACCGAACCTGGGTCTCTCAGGACCGCAGACCGACACTCTAACCGCTGAGCCAAACCGGCTAGGGCCCACATAAAAACATTGTATGGGCTGTGGTGTATGTGTCTTATCGTGTGGAGGTACCAGCCTTAGAAGGCGAACAGAGCCCTGGCCAGTTTGGCTCAGCGGTTAGAGCGTCGGTCTGCGGTCCGGAGAGACCCGGGTTCGGTTCCCGCTAAGGGCGCGTACTTCGGTTGCAGTTTGTCCCCGGCCCTGGTTGGTCGTGCGGGTGGCAGCCACTCGATGTGTCCCTTCATGTCGATGTTTCTCTCTCTCCCTTCCTCTCTCTCCCTCCCACTCTATCTGTACAAAAAATGGAAAAATGTCCTCGAGTGAGGATAAAAAAAAAAAAGGTGAACAGAAACCAGGACAGGAGCCAGGGTGCCCTGGATGAGCAGGGAATGACCCAGTTGGGAACATCCCACCTGGGTCTCAGACCAAACCTGGAAAATAGCACCTGAGTTTTCCCCACTCTGGTGACCCCTGCTCACTCCACGGCCCCTCTCCATCTACACTCGCTTCTCTGAGCTCCTCCAGCCTCAAGCCGGAGAATTCCAAAATAATGTCTCCAGGCCTGGACTCACCCCAGACTCAAAAATCCCCTTCAACACCTCCCCCACCCAACCCGATCCGCCCCACCGCCCTGGTCCTGCACTTGCTAAACAAGCAAATCCCATTTCTTTCTTTCCCACGTTCACCTCCATATCTAGTCTATGGGGAAATCCTGACCATTCTACCTTCAAAATGGACCCAGAATCGGACCACTTCTCACCAAATCCGCGGCCCCTAATCTGGGCAGATCCAACCAACATCACCTCCCGCCTGAACCATCCCCAAAGTCCCTGGGCTTCAGCCTTAGCCTCCAATCTGTTCCCCATGCGGCCGCCAGAGGGCGCCAGTTCCCACTTCTGGTCTTTCACGGTTCTGGGCTCAGAAACCCCCATGGCTCCCTGCTCTCTCCTTGTCAAAGCAAAGTCCTCTCCGTGGTTTACAATGGCCAGTACAATCTGGGTCCCATTGACCCTCCCCTTACACCCTCTCCCCCTTGTGCCCTCTCCCCTTTGCTCACCCTGCTTCAATCACACTGTCCTTCTTGCTGTTCTCCTGAACTCCAAGCAGTCCCACCCACCCCAGGGCCTTTGCACTGGTTGTCTCTCCCCTGGACCAGTATTCTCTGCACACCTCCTTGGGGTATGACTCAAATGTCACCTCTCAGAGAAGCACACAAATACACAATTTGAACAAAAAACAAAAACCCTCATCTGGTAAAGATCATCGTGGATTATTTACAGGTGAAACGTGATATCCTTGATTTACTCTAAAATAGTCCAGAAAAATAAAGGGAGGGGTCTCCAAGAAGCAAGGATGGCAGAACGCTGACCATTGTTGGCACCGAATGATGATCACATGGGGTTCAATATAGGATTCTCTCTGCTTTTGTTTGTTTTTGTTTTGGGGGGTTTTCTTATCCTCACCCAATAACATTTTTTGCATCGACATGAGAGAGATACAGTGAGTGGTTATTGCCCACATGACCCCAACCAGAGCCAGGGACAACTGCAACCGAGGTACGTGCCCTTAGCAGGAACCAAACCCGGGTCTCTCCAGTCCGCAAGCCGACGCTCTAACCACTGAGCCAAACCGGCCAGGGCTCTCTCTGCTTTTGTATTTGCAAAATGCCATCATAAAAATAAATAAAATGCCAAATAAAAATAAAAGTAGCCTTTGCACTTACCCACCACTCATTATCCCCTTTCCTTCCTTCACTTTTATGCCTCATATTCATCACTCCCTGACAGTATATTCTATACTTACTTGCCTACGGTCTGTCTCCCCCTCTAAAATGTCAGCTCCCCAAGGGCAGGGATGTCTGTCCGTCTTGTCCCCTGTTCGATGCCCAGTGCCCAGCACATTGCTGGCACTAAATGAGTATTTGTTGAATGAACGAATTCAGAAGTGCTGGGATGAGACCAAACACAGAGTTATCACGAAGAATGAATACGTGTGCGCAAGTGCTACACAAGCAAGGATGGTTGGGCAAGGCCTTGTGGAGGAGGTGAATTTAACAGAGATGATAAGCGGGGGGCAGTTATGGGAAGATTCAGAGGAAGGGCAGGGAGGTAGTGGGACATTCTTTGGTCCTAATAGCTGTTGATTCGGTGGCAAAGCTATAACTGCCTATTACCGCCTCCCTGTTTCAACCCTCCCCCCACATTCTTAACATCCCCTCTACCACCACCACTCCGCTTTGGGAGGCCCTGAGGGGTTCCTAAGAAAGCTGGGCATGGTCCGGCCAGTGTGGCTCAGTGGTTGAGCATCAACTCATGCACCAAGAGGTCACCGGTTCGATTCCCCGGACAGGAAATATGCCCAGGTTCTGGGCTGGATCCCTGTCGGGGGAGGGGGGCATGCAGGAGGCAGCCTATCGATGTTTCTATCTCTCTCTCCTTTTCCCTTCCTCTCTCTCTAAAACCAATAAAGAAAAAAATAAATAAATAAAATTAAAATTAATTTTTAAAAAGCTGGGCATGTACCCACCCAGGCGGCTTTTGCTGGATGTAGGGATTTGCACCGTCTGTTTTCTACAAAGAACGAAGTCCTTGGGGAAGAAGATTAAACGAAGGCAGGGAAAGCATTCTGCTCTTAGACAAGGTGGGTTTGGCGTGCTCGCTGTCAGGAGGCCACCTGGCCGCGGGTGGCCTGGGCCCCAGCCTTCCCCTTGGTCGAGGTGGGCGTCCCCAGCAGGTTCAGCTCCAGCAGCGGTCGGAAGCCCTGGGCGGAGGTCTCCTCGGGCCACTGCGGAGGCGGGTCTAAGGCAGGGGTTGGAGGGAGAGGAGAGAATGAGGAGAACTGGAGAAAAGCAGAGAGGTGAAGAGCTCAGGGCTCCGGTGAGGGCGGCAGACAAGAGGGTCAGGGATGGTGAAAGGAAGGGAGATTGCACAACAATTAGTTAAAAAAAAAAAAAAAAAAGCAGTGTCAGGGGTCAGAAGGCTGGGTGGAATCTCAGCTCTGCCATTTTTCTGGCTGCGTGGTTTCAGGCAAGTCACTCTGCCTCTGTGCCTCAGTTTCCTTTTCTACAGAATGAGAATAACCCCTCTGGAGCTTAGAAATGTCAAAGGCAAGCCCTGGCCAGTTTGGTTCAGCGGTTAGAGCGTCGGCCTGCGGTCCGGAGAGACCCAGGTTCGGTTCCCGCTAAGGGCACGTACTTCGGTTGCAGTTTGTCCCCGGCCCTGGTTGGTCGTGCAGGTGGCAGCCACTCGATGTGTCCCTTTCACGTCGATGTTTCTCTCTCTCTCTCCCTTCCTCTCTCTCCCTCCCACTCTATCTGTACAAAAAATGGAAAAATATCCTCGGGTGAGGATTAAAAAAAAAAAAAAAAAAGAAATGTCAAAGGCAATATGTGTGCCTGACACTTAGTACCATGATGTGTTTGTTAAATATGGTTGACCCTTGAACAGCACACGTTCCAACTGCATGGGTCCACTTATATGCACATTTTCTTCAATAAATATAGTCGTCCCTCCATAGCCGGGTTTTGTATTCGTGGGTTCAACCCACCACAGATGGAAAACAATAACATTCTTTTAAATTTTTTTCAATTACAGTTTTCATTCAATATTATTTTGTATTAGTTTTGGGTGTATAACACAGAACGGTAGCATTTTTCATTTTATTCTCACCAGAGGATATTTCTCCATTTATCCTCAGATGGAGTGGGAAGGAGGGAGAAAGAGAAACATCGATGTGCTCTGGCTGGTTTGACTTAGCAGTTAGAGCATCAGCCTGCAGACTAGAGTCTCGGGTTCGGTTCCCGCTAAGGGCATGAACCTCGGTTGCAGTTTGTCCCCGGCCCCCGTTGGGGTCAAGTGGGTGGCAACCAGTCTATGTGTTTCTCTCACATCGATGTTTCTCTCTCTCGCTTCCCCCCTCTCTCCCTCCCACTCTATCTGAAAATAAATGCAAAAATGTCCTTGGGTGAGGATAAAAAAATAAAATAAAATAAAACTTAAATCTTTAAAAAAAAAAAAAAGAAAAGAAAAAAGAAACATCAACATGAGAGACACATCTACTGGTTGCCTCCCTCATGACCCAACCAGGGCCGAGGACAAATTGCAACCCAGGTACGTGCCCTTGACTGAAATCGAACCCAAGACTCCTTGGTCAGCTGGCCGACGCTCTAACCACTGATCACAACGGCCAGGGCAACATCAGCATTTTTGACCCAGGGTTGGGACTCCACAGATGCAGAGAGCTGACCATATGCACTATTCTACCCCATTTTCTATGAGGAACTTGAGTGTCCAAGGCTTTTGGTATCCAAATGGGGGCTGGAACCAAGCCCCACAGATACCGGGACGGAAGTAAAGTTTGGGGGAAGTCAAATTTACATACGGATTTTCAACTGCTCAGAGGACTCTAACCGCTGCACTGTTCAGGGGTCAACAATAAATAGGAACAACTGGGAGGGGGGAGGTTAGAGGAAAGAAAAATCAACATGAATAAGAAAAGAAGCTAGGTCCAGCCGGTGTGGCTCAGTAGTTGAGTGTCAACCCATATGCACCAAGAGGTCGCCGGTTCGATTCCCGGTCAGGGCACGTGCCCAGGTTGTGGGCCTGATCCCCAGTGGGGGGCATGCAGGAGGCGGCCAGTCGATGTTCACTCTCATCGATGTTTCTTGTGGAGGGCGGCTGAGCCAAGGTCCCTTGTTCCTGTGGTGTTTGCATGGTCTCACCCAGGGGCCTATAGTCCCAAGGCCACTTGTTGATCCTGTGCACGCAGGAACATTCTACCCAAGATGTCTTTTGTTCCTGAGTGCCGGCAAGGCCCATGCAGGAGCCGCCTGAGCCGCGGGCAAGAATGTATGGACAGTCTGGACCTTGAGCTCAGAGGCCGACGGACACATTTGGTGTTTAAAAACAGTGAAGCGCCCTGGCCAGCTTGGCTCAGCGGTTAGAGCGTCGGCCTGCGGTCCAGAGAGACCAGGGTTCGGTTCCCGCTAAGGGCACGTACCTCGGTTGCAGTTTGTCCCCGGCCCTGGTTGGTCGTGCGGGTGGCAGCCACTCGATGTGTCCCTTTCACATCAATGTTTCTTCCTCTCTCTCCCTCCCACTCTGTACAAAAAATGGAAAAATGTCCTCGGGTGAGGATGAAAAAAAAATATATGGACTGGGTATTTGTTCCCTCAAAAAATGTATGTGTTTGGCCCTGGCCGGTTTGGTTCAGCAGTTAGAGCGTCGGCCTGCGGTCCTGAGAGACCTGGGTTCGGTTCCCGCTAAGGGCATGTACCTCGGTTGCAGTTTGTCCCCGGCCCTGGTCGGTTGTGCGGGTGGCAGCCACTCGATGTGTTCCTTTCACATCGATGTTTCTCTCTCTCTCTCTGTTCCTCTCTCTCCCTCCCACTCTACCTGAACAAAAAATGGAAAAATGTCCTCGGGTGTGTTTGAAGGCAGGGGGGCAGAAGTGGGGAGGAGAAGGTCCATGGGGGAAAAGTGGGGACATTTGCAGTACTTTCAAAAAGCAAGATACAACCCGGCTGGTGTGGCTCAGTGATTAAGCGTCGACCCATGCACCATCGACCCATGCACCAAGAGGTCACCACTTCGATTCTCGGTCAGGGCCCAGGCTCAGGTTGTAGGCCCGATCCCCAGTGGGGGGCATGCAGGAAGTGGCCAGTCCATGTTCTCTCTCATGGATGTTTCCATCTCTCTCTCCCTCTCCCTTCCTCTCTCTAAAATCAATAAAGAAAAAAGAATTTTTTTAAAAGAAAGATACAATTTTTTTAAATTCCTGTGTTCCCTCTCGGTTGGAATGTTATCCCATATACCAGAGGGTTGTGGGTTAGATTCCCAGTCAGGGTACATATGGGAGGCAATGGATAGCTGTTTCTCTCTCTCTCTTTCTCTCTCTCTCTCTTAAATCAATAAAAACATATCTTCCGGTGAGAATTAAAAACAAAATAAATCATGTGTTGAAATCCTAACCTTTAAAGTGATGGTATTTGGAGGTGGGCCTCTGGGAGGTGATTAGATCATGAGGGCGGAGCCTTGGTGAATGGGATCAGTGTCAGAACAGAGACCCCAGAGAGCTCCTTCCCCCACGTGAGGACACAGCGGAAGCTGGCCCTCACCACACACTGAGTCTGCCACACCTTGACCTTGGACTTCCTAGCTTTTAGAACTGCGAGAGATAAATGTTTGTTATTTAATCCACTCTGCCTATGGTATTTCTGTTATAGCATCCTGGACAGACTAAGACAGTGCCTCTATGTGTGCATATATGTATATATACATATATAGAGGTATATGGATATCTAACATAGATTATAACCTTAAATGTACATATGTGTATGTATATAGATGTATAGATATCTAACATAGATTATAATCTTAAATCCTAAAAACAACTCATACTAGTAAACTCTATTTTATTGATTTTGCAAATAAATAAGTTGCCTGAGGCCACCTCACAAACAGGCGCCAGCCCTGTGATTCCAACCCGTCCGCTGGCCCCAGAGCGGGAGTTCGCCCCGTCCTGTCTCTTCTCTGGGCATCTCTGCTGAGAACGGAGACCAGGCCAAGGCGGCAGCCCGCTCAGCCTCAGCTGGGAACATGTCTACGGACCTCAGGTTGTTGCTGCTCTGCGCACGTCTGTGAAAATTGGAAAAGTGCAACTGATTCTGGGGTTACAGAAACTAATTTTGCGAGTGGGAATTCGCAAATGCGGAATTTGTGACTAATGAGGGCTACCTGTATCTCTTGTCTACTTCCTCACTCTAGAATGTGAATCCCATGAGGACTGGAATGTTTCGTTTATTTATATTTTAATATTTGTATTGATATTTTAGAGAGAGAAGGGAGAGGGAGAGGGAGAGAAAGAGGGAAACACACCCTCCTGCACGCCCTAGCAGGGATGGAGCCCGAAACCCAGACACGTGCCCTGACCGGGAATCAGACAGGCAACTTTGGATGCCAGCGAGGACACCAAACCAACTGAGCCACATGGGCCAGTGCCCACTCTCTCTGCCTGCCGGGGGTCATTGTAAGGCAATGAACTACAAGCAGACACTGCTTGGAGTGAGAGGGAGCATCACAAGGGAGCAAATGCTCCAGATCTCTGGATGCAGCCCAATTTATTTGCCAAGTGGTTCCCTAGGTTACATGGTGTTTTAGTTCATTAAGTGCTTGAGACTGTGTCTCTGCTGACCTTACAGCCAAGCCCGGCATAATTCCCATTCCAGCTATCTCTCGTTGTTTTCAGGGGAGGTACATAACAAATACATTCACACTTGGGTGATAAGCCCATTGGTGCTATCAGGGTGGCTTTCTAAACCCAACATGCATATCTTGTCTATTCACGTGTATATATAATTTGATCTTTGGCTCGCCAGCCTATAAGAATGCATACTTCAAGGTTAAATTTTGTTCATCCACTAAACCCCCAACCATACAGGCCAGGGCTGTTTTGTCTGTCTTTGCTTTTCTTTTTTTTTAAGTTATTTTTTATTTTTTATTACTTGTTTTTTTTAAATATGTGAGTTTTTTTGTTAGTTTTTTGTAACTTATCTTTATTGTTGAATGTATTACAGATGTTCTCCCTGCCCCCACTTTTTTCCCCATTGATTTTTTTTTCCTCACCCGAGGACATTTTTCCACTTTTTGTTCAGATAGAGTGGGAGGGAGAGAGAGGAAGAGAGAATGAAAGAAAAACATCGACGTGAAAGGGACACATCGAGTGGTTGCCACCTGCACGACCCAACTTGGGCAGGGGACAAACTGCCACCAAGGTACGTGCCCTTTGTGGGAACTGAACCCGGGTCTCTCTGGACCGCAGGCCAACGCTCTAACTACTGAGCAAAACCGGCCAGGGCTCCTCATTGATTTTTTTAGATAGAGAGGAAGGGAGAGAGAGAAACTTTGATGTGAGAGAGACACATTGATCAGCTACCTCCTGCACGCCCCCTACTGGGGATCAAGCCGGCAACCCAGGCATGGGCTCTGACTTAGAATCGAACTGGGACCTCTCAGTCCATGGAATAATGCTCAGTCCAGTGAACCATGACCGCTGGGCTTGTCTGCCTTGTTCACTATTATCTCTAGTCCCTAGCACAGAACTTGGGGCAGAGTGGGTGCTCAGTAAATACTTGTTGAATATACAAAGGATGCAAAGAAAAAGAATGAACTAGTATCCACCATCTGCTTAATCCTTACAACATAAGAAGGAAAATGCAGCCCAGAGAGGGTAAGCTCCTTGCTCGAAGTTGCCTAGCCAACAAGGGAGGCTTCTCTCTTCCTCAGCGCCTTGCTGTGTGACCTCGGTGCAAACAGTCTACCTCTCTGAGCCGTGGTTTACCCGCATGAGGCATTCTTATAAAGGGCAGTCATTAAACTGGTGGCAATTTCCCTCTGAAGCCGTCACACTAAGCCCTGTAGACCACATGCCATGAGCACATCTTCACAGTCACCAGCAATAGAAAGGCCCTCAGCCTCACCTAGACTGAGACAGTTCTAGTCATTATGAGGCTGAATGGTCTACCCTGTTCAATCCGCACAACATCCCTACAGCGAGGACCGCCATTGTCATTATTCCCGTTTTAGAAATACAGAGACCGAGGTGTGGAAAGGGAGGTCACGCAGCAGGACGGAACAGAGCCAGGTGGAAACCCAGGTAGGGGGGTCCCACAGCTGTCTTGTCCTGTCCAAGTGGGCAGAGAGGAACATGGGGGGACCGAGGGCAGATAGAAGGGGAAACTGAGGTTCTGGAGGAAGGGGCGGGAAGCCAGAGGTGGGCTGACACTGGTGGAGAATGGCCGGGGGTCCTCACGACTCACGTAGCCAGCGTTGTTGACCACACAATCCAAGCAGCCAAAACGGCAGACGGTCTTAGAAACGAGGGTCTGAGGAGAAAGATGTCTCGTGAGTGAGGAGTGTTGGCAGCCGGGGCTCCCAAAAGCAAGACAGGAAGAAGGGGGAAGCTGGAGCCACAGCTGAGGGAACAGGAGCTAGAGGAAGCGGGGGACTCCCCCAAATCTCCAGGCCTGGAAAAGAGGAGACAGGAAGCTGGGGTGCCAGAGCCCAGAGGTCACACTGCAATCATTACTCTAGAGATCTGGGGTCAGGGGACAGAGACCCGGGGGGGCACATATCAGAGAGATACTGACTAAAGGGAAGGGACAAAACCCTGAGACAGGAGGGAAAAAACTCTTACAGAAAAGGACCCACTCACTGTGGGGGACTCTTTTGTTCCAATTTATGTGACAGGTGTGATTAGAATCTTGAAGAAGTGAGAGACAAAAGAGAAGCCGCCCAGGAGATACTGGACCGGGCCAGCAAAATCAGGGAGGAAAGGACACTGAGCTGAACCCTTCGGGGCCTGAACAATTTAGCCAAGAGAAGAGGGTACAGCAGGTGCAAAAACTTAGAGGACAGAGCTAGAGAGAAATTGGATATAGGGAGTGGGGACAGAAATATGCTCACCCTCATATCTTCCTCCTGAGCCACATCACAGAGAAGCCAGTTCCAGGAAGCTCCTTCTCCAGAACCCGGCCCCCCAACTCTGCAGGGAGAGAAGGGCTGGATTCCTGGGTCTGAGGGAGGAGGGGCTGGGGGCCTGGACTCCTGGTCTGAGGGAGGAGGGGCTGAGAGACCCTCACTCACCACCTTTGTCACAACCACTTGGGCCCGTCTCTCCACTAAGAATAGAAAGAGAACAGGTTACCACAGCACAGACCGTGGTGAAGGCCTCTGCTGCCCTATTGTGGCCACCTGGAGTGGGGCCTATCACCCAGCTAGGTTCCCCTCGTGACCCTAGTCTCCTGATGACCTCCTAGGGCAAAGGGCAGAGTTCTTGTCAAGTATTCTCCTTAGCTACTCCAAGTGCCTGCTGGGGTTCCTGTGAGCCCCATCTCTGGCTTCCAGAGTAACCCCTAAATCTGCAAGAGACATATTCCTCAAACCACCCGTTGTGTAGCTCTAATTACTGAGACCCAGAGAAAGAGAGGAAGGGTTTGAGATTTGCCAAACACTCAGGCTTCGGGATACCACTTTCACCCCTTCCTTGACATTGCAAATTGGATTTTATAAGAATCAGGATTCCTTCCCACACTCGGTAGACCCCGGGGTCGCTCCTCTCCCAGATTCCAGTATTCTACCAGCCAACACCCCCTCACCCAAAGCTCTCGCGATCCCGGCTCCGATGCCACGCCCCCCCCCCCCTCCGGTCACAATGACCCCCTTCCTGGCATAGCGCGACCCCGTGGCCACCCCGCATCCGTCCGCCTGTCTCTCCCTCTGTCACACTCTAGGCCTCTTCCCACCTCCAAAGTCCGGTGAGGCTGAGGGCTGGACCCTGGTAGCCCGGCCCTGGGGGGCGTTGCGGGAAGTCCCGCTACCTGTAAATTTGGCCCCAGCCCCCTCCTCCCTCAAACCCAGTAATCCAGGCCCTCGTTCCCTCTGTCCTCAGACCTCCAAGTCCCAGGTCCCTGCCCCTTCCTCCCTGGGGACCCAGGATGCCAGACACCAGCTCAGTCCCTCTGAGTTCCCAGTGTCACAACCCCAAACAGACAAAAAGAAAGCTATTAATGAACATTTCAGTTTTAATCCGAATTTGGACAAGTGCAGGGAAAACCTAACTTGAGCCGTAGAAACCCCTCCCCGATAGGCCACCGGAGAGGACCAGCTGCCCCCGTGGCCCCAGATCTCCGTGGAGTACCTCCAGGCCACGCCCTCGTGTTCCAATTGGCCAGGTCAGAAGCTGGACTGCAGCAGAGTGACTCGCAAAGGCCACGCCCCCTCGTCTTGGGTCAGGGCGGGAGGGGCGGGCCCCGAATCCCACGTGGGCTCCCAGGAGGCGGGGCCTGCGCCTCGCCCACTGCCTCGGCGGGAGAATCCAGTGGAGCGGGAATTGGCCACCGGAGATCTCGGGGGCGAGGTCACCTGGGGTTTGGGGTTTGCGGGAGGCGGTGGCACCGGCGGAAGAGGTTCTCCTCCTGAGTCCAAATTTCCTCCTGGAGAAGACGAGTGGGGAATGAGAATGGCAAAATCTGGGATCCGAGATTCCGAACCCCCAAGCCTTTCTTCCCTCAGACCCAGGAGTCCTGGACCTCAATCCTCTCCTGCCTGGGACTTATGACTCCCAAACCTTGCCCAGCTCTTTCCTCATCAAGGCAGGAATTCCAGGGGCCCTCAGGTCCCTCCCCACCAGGAACTAGGATTCCAGGCCTCCAGCTTCCTCTTCCCTAAAACCCAGCAGCCCTGGGTCCCCAGCCCCTCCCCACCTGACATCATTCTGTGCCACTGCGAGGCCTCAGCGGCTAGAGCTTGAGAGAGGCTGAGAACTCGCTCCCGATGCCCTTCCGATGTAGGTAAATAAGGGGTGGTGTTCCTCGGGCTAGAAAAAAGATTTAGGGGAGAGGTACAGTTAGTGACGACCACCTTGTTGCACATGTCCTTCTGGGAGTTGTAGTCCCCAGCACGTGTAGCTAAAGGACTTTAAACCTGGCGAGGCCCGTATAAAAAGCCCACGTGCACTATGGATCTGTTGTCCAGTGACGGTGAATTTCAACCGGTTCCCACATGGCTGGGCAGAGCTGTTTGATATCCACCCAGATTTTCAGTTCCAGTGACTGCTGTTCTCACTGGGGATCTGGGGCTTTCTGATGCCCCCAGGAACTCAAGGGTCTCTAAAAGGTTCTGCAATCACCCTGGCCGGGTGCTCAGCTGGTTGGGGCGTCATCCCCATATACCAAAAGGTAGTGTGTTCGATTCAGGGCACATACTCAGGTTTTGGGTTTGATCCATAGTTGGGGCGTGTAGCAGAGACAACCGATGGATGTTTCTCTCTCTCATCCCTCTCTCTCTCTCTCTCTCAAATCAATAAAAAATAAAAATATATCTGCAAGTGAGGATTTTTAAAAAAGGTTCTGCAATCTGCTCAGGGGAGACATAAATAATGCTGCTCCCCTCCCCATTGGGACATTAATTTCCCTGCTCCAATTCCTTACCTGCTCCAGGACCCAGAGCTTCTTAGCCATTTCTGGGCTCCCCCCTGTCCTAGGACAGGCTGCAAAGGAAATGGGACGTTAGTATTCCTCACCTGAGAGCCCCCACACTCTCCTTGTGAGGGTGAAATGAAGGAGGCTCAGAGAGGGGGTGAAATTGCCCCCAGACTCTGAGAATGTTTAACTTTACATGCAAAGAACCCTTCTTCACATGATGTAGATAGGACTCACAGAGGACCCCCACCTTGTTTACCTATGACAAAGCCAGAAACAGATCCCCCAAATTCAACCTTTACCACATAAATGGCTAGCTGAACTGTTTGTCCCCCCAAAACTAGCTAGACACAGAGATAAACGTTTGGTGTTCAGCTGACTGAGATGCCCCCTGATTACAAAAACAATCCTCCTGGTAAAATCACCCCACCTATGACTTGTCTAATTCCTCCCTAGAAAGGTAAGATGAAACCATCCTGGCCAATCTGGAGTGCTCTCGTGGCAATGGCATGAATAAAATCGATTTCTTTTTCCTTTTTTGCCTTTGACAACATATAGTAACTGAAAAGAAAACCGGGCTTCCACTCCAGACCCATGACGCCTCATGAGGTGGGATGTGGTATCTGCCCAACCGCAGACCCCCACCGAGAAGGGGGCCAGGGTGCTGGCTTCAGCACCAGTACCAGCTGGGTTGAATTCAAAAACAGTTCTGAGTCAGAAGGTAGAGAAATCCCCATTTTATAGAGAGGGAAAACGAGGCTCAAACTAGGAGCAGAGGACACGTGACCACCCACTGCCCCACCTCTGTTCCCCTCACCCTTTGTTCCCCATCAGGCTGGCATCTGGCTGGGGACAGCGTCCTCCCCAGAGTGAGGAGCCGGGGAGAGGCTGGGCGAGGGAGAGGCCGCCCACACTCCTGGTTTCTCCGCATTCTTTCCAGCTGCTCCTGAGCACTCATCCGGGGCCGGGCCAGGGGGGCCTAGGGACAGGAGAAACCCCTCAAGACCCCAACCTTGGTTTCTGTTCTCTCTCTTCCCTGAACCTCGTAGCCTCCAGCCTTACCCTCTCCAGTAAGTTCACCACCAGATCTCAGAGGGCTCTTTGTACACCCGGAGCTGAGACTGTCCCCCCACTGCTCAAGCCCCTCCATGGTCCCCGAGCACCCTGGGACCAGGGCCTCTGAGGCTCTGTGAGGCCTGGTCCCCACCCACCTCTCTGGTCTCCACTCTATCAGCTGCCTATTTGAACCTGACAACCCACCCTGACAAACACCCACACTTCTGGGCCTATCCAGCTTCCTCACGTAGACAGGACTCGGGGATGCTTGGGATTAACAACAAAACACACACACACACACACACACCCCTCTGAATCAGCTTTGAACACAACAGGAAGAATGGGATTTATTGAGTAATTAGCTAAATTGTCATGAGGATCAGCTGGAGTTGGCCTTAGGCCTTGATGAGTTCCGTCTTGCCCTCGGAACCAGAGGGAAGACACAGGCAGAGAGAACGCCATGTGCTGATTGGAGTTACGGGGCCACAAGCCAAGGAACTACCAGACCCTGGGACAGAGGCTGGGAGCTGACCCTTCCCGAGTGCCCTCAGAGGGACTATGGCTCTGCTGACGCTGTGATCATGGAAACGCCCCCTGGCCCCTACGGCTCCGTTGGTTGGACCATCACCAGTGCATGGTGATCCCCAGTTGGGCAGAGATGGGAGGCAACAAATGGATATATCCCTGTCACGCTGATGTTTCTCTCTCTCTCCCTCCAAGAAAAAAAAAATATCTTTTTTTTTAAAGAAAAAGAACTTAAAATGCAAGAGGACAGAGACAAAGCAAACAAAAAATTGTCCGGTAAAAGGAAACCAGAACTTGGAGGTTTGGGAAATTCTCAGCCTAGCCACAGAGCAAAACGAAAAGAAAAGAGGAAGCGTGACCTGGAGGGAACACCAAGGGTGTGGCCGGACACCGGTTTGCTAAGCGGTTCGGCATGTGACGTGTGGATCCAGTCAGAGATCTCAGCAGAAACACTGCCAACTGGAGCAGAAGGGGACAGAGAGGGGACTCAGTGAAGAAAGGCTGAGATACGACAGGCAGGAAACAGGCCGACAGAGCTAGCTGGCTGAAAACACGTGTCAGCCTTCAAGAAAGGGGGCAGTTTGGACACAGACACAGAAAAAGCCAAGTGACGACTGCAAACAAGCTAAGGACAAAAGCCTGGGACAGATCCTTCCCTAGTGCTTGCGGGACCATGGCCCTGAGCGCACCTTGATTTCAGACCTCTAACCTACAAAACTGTTTCCTGCCTGTCAGTGATGGCCCCGTGTTACTGAAAATCAGCCAATCAGCAACAGACACAAAGCTTCCCGGCTTAAAGCCGACCAATCCCTAAACACTCCAATTCCAGGTCTACCCTGCTTAAGCAAGTAACAAATCCAGCTCTTTCTGATACAGAACAGCAGCTTCCTTCCTGATCACTCCACTTTTTTTTCCCCAGATAGAGGGGTGGGGGGGCATGATGTGTGAGAGACACATCAATTGGTTGCATCCCCGAGTCCTGTCTACGTGAAGAAGCTGGATAGGTCCAGGAAGTGTGGGTGTTTGTCAGGGTGGGTTTTCAGGTTCAAATAGGGCAGCCGATAGAGTGGAGACCAGAGAGGTGGGTGGGGACCAGGCCTCACAGAGCCTCAGAGGCCCTGGTCCCAGGGTGCTCAGGGACCATGGAGGGGCTTGAGCAGTGGGGGGACAGTCTCAGCCCTGATGGGTGTGCTCAGTGGTTAGAGTGTCAGCCCGCACACCTAAGGGTGGAGGGTTTGATCCCTGGTCCTGGTCTGGGCACATGCAGGAGGCAACCAATGGATGTGCCTCTCTCTCTCTCTCTCTCTCTCTCCTCCCTCCCTCCCTTCCTTCCTCTCTCTCTAAAAATCAATGAAAAAAATATCCTCGTGTGAGAATTAACAAAAAAACAAACAAAAAGAGTCAACCGATGCATAAGTAAGTGGAACAACAAATCGCTGTCTCTTTCTCTCTCTACAATCAATCAATAAAAATATATGATTCTGCAGATGAAAACTAAAGGACTTTCTTTCCCCAAGGTCCTCAGGCCACCAGATTTGGTGTCACTGATAAGGAGAGGACGATGGTGAACATTGTTATTGATGCCCAAGGTGATCAATAAGGGAAACTCCTGGGCGCATGCAATACTGAGCCTGATAGACGCTTGTTGTGAAACAGAGAAACTGCTGAGATCGTATGAGACTCAGAAATGCAGGAGCATTAGCCCTGGCCGGTTTGGCTCAGCGGTTGGAGCGTCGGCCTGCGGTACAGAGAGACCCGGGTTCGGTTCCCGCTAAGGGCACGTACCTCAGTTGCCATTTGTCCCCGGCCCTGGTTGGTCGTGCGGGTGGCAGCCACTCGATGTGTCCCTTTCACGTCGATGTTTCTCTCTCTCTCTCTCTTCCTCTCTCTCCCTCCCGCTCTATCTGAACAAAAAATAGAAAAATGTCCTCGGGTGAGGATAAAAAAAAGAAAGAAAAGAAATGCAGGAGCATTAAAGCAATGATGTTGATAATGTTGGGGGCACGGGGGGATCTCCCCATGGATGAAATGGGTGAAACGGGCAATCAGTTCATTGCTGACCTTTAACAGTGCATATTTCTCAGTGATCAAGAGATTCTAACCAGTTGACTCAATTACAGGGGCCCTGCCCAGATGAGACCCTTTGTGAAGCAGCAGACAGCACAGCAAGAAACTCTATGAAAGACCCCTGACTCGTCCTCAGGGAATCCCACTACTGGCCCTGCCCCAGATGTCCAACCCCAATGCGGTGACGGCATTGATGGCTTGACCGGTGACCCTTGCCTCCAGAGTCCTCAAGCCACCAGATGGCACGAGCATTGCTGCAGGTGTCCACTGAGGCACTTGGTGCCATTTGTACCTGGGTTGTGTGACATGATGTCTTTTCCTTAGAAATAAAAAGTGTCTGATATTTCTAATCTAGTTTTATTCCACTCTGATTTGCTCATTCAGCAGATTCTTGCTATTTTTAAAAACTGGACATTTAAATAAGATGTTATTTATAGCTTTTATCCCATTTAATATGAATATTCATATGTTTTATTGAAGAAATATTTGCTTAAGGGTGCTGTGCGGACACCACTGGAGGTTTTATATATGCAGCGTATGCACTATATTATGGGTCTAGAGTCTGCAAAATGTTGCATTTTGAATTACATCTGGTCCCAAAGGTTTGGGATAAGGTTTGAAGTCCAATATACCTAGAATCCAACTATCTCTCAATATCTCCACTTCCTGTGACCTAGTGGAAACTACTATTATCTCCCACCTGGACTACCTCCCAGCTGCCCCTCCCCTGGATTGCCCGCCTGAACCCTTGCGGGGATGTCTATTCCCCACAAGGCCACCAGAGGGCACCCGTTCCCACGGAGGGCAGTTCCCATTCCTCTGCTCAGAACTCGCCAGGGCTCCAGGCTCACTCACAGTCCAAGTCTTCACCTTGGACCACAAGGCCCAGCGCATTCTGCTCCCAACACCCATCTGTCCTCCTCTCCACCCCTCTCTCTGTCGCACGTGGTTCCAGCCACACTGGTTTTCTAGATGCTTCTCCAACACACCAAGCCCACTTCCACCTCCTAACCTTTGCAAAGGCCGCCCCCTTTGTCTGTAAAGCTCTTCCACTGGTATCCATGAGGCCTCCCCAGACCAAGCCATTCACAACTGTACCCCTTCCCCAAGCGTCCCTAGACCTCACTGTCCTGTTTATTCAGTACTTCTAATGTAGAGAATAGTGTACAGCAAGTTGCTTGTTTACAATCTGCCTCTGACATCCACCAGACGCCGGCTTCATAAGGGAAGAAGAATGTCTTTCTCATCTTGCTCACATCTGTGACTTCAGTGCCTACACACATCTGTGCACGAGCCCTTTCTTCAGTGACGAAATGTCTTATCTGCTCTGTCCAACAGGGTAGCCACTGGCCACCTGAGCAACTGCAGTGTGGCGAGTGTGGGTACATTGTTCACTTTATTTCATTCTAATTCATTTGCATTTAAACAGACACATGTTGGCTACCTTATTGGACAGTGAAGAGGATACTTAAGGAATATTTACTGAGTCAATGAATAGGTAAATGAATGAATGAATGGAGTACTTACTAGATCCAGGAACTATTTCCAACCCTTTCTGGGCTTTCATCTAGTTTGAATTTTCACATCAGCTCTAGGTGGTAGGCACTGCTATCAGCTCCATTTTGCAGATGAGAAAATGGAGGCAGAGAGAGGTTTAGTAACTGACCCAAAGTCACACAGCTTAGAAGTGGCAGAGACGAAATTTAATCCCAATGCTCTTAACAAATCACAATCTCTCTGATGCAGGGTGCAGCCTTAGAACTCCCCTCTCCCAGCTTCTTCCCCAAAAGTGGGGTATCTGTGGTGGTCAGATGGAAAGGTTACAAGATCTACCTGGGGGGGCCAGTCAGACTGCCTACCTTGGTTCCTGGCTGTGGGGAAGGGGGGCATCGACCCTCAGGGCTGGAAGCCTGTGAGATCCTTGGAGATCCCAGACCTGGAAGGGCAGAACGGGACTTAGTGAGGACAGGGGATGCCGTGCACATCCCGCCCAGCCCAGGACACTCACCTGAGCGAGGGATGGCAGGGTTTCTGTCACCTCCGGGAGGCCGCCCCCAGTCAGCCTCGGGGGACCGGGGTGAGCTCAGTTCCAAGGACTCAGGCAGGCTCTGGAAGGGTTGGGGAAGAGGGATTACATTATCATTATTATTACCATTTTTAAGCACTTAGCAATTGAGACACAGCATAATAGGATTAAGATGGAATAACCAGGAGCCAGCCTGGCCGGTGTGGCTCAGTGGTTGAGCACCAACCCAGGCACCAAGAGGTCACCAGTTCCATTCCTGGTCAGGGCACATGCCCAGGTTGTGGGCCAGATCCCCAGTGGGGGGCATGCAGGAGGTGGCCAATCAATGTTCTCTCTCATCGATGTTTCCACCTCTCTCTCCCTCTCCCCTTCTCTCTCTCTCTAAAATCAATAAAAAAAGAAAAACCAGGAGTCAGACAATCTGGTTGCAAATCTCCGCTCTGCCATTTATTAGCTGTGTGATCTTGGGCAAGTTACTTTACCTCTCCGGGCCACATTTCAACTTCTGATATGAGGATTGAATTCACACATGTAAGACCCTTAGAACAGTGCCTGGCTCATGGCAGGGTATTATAAATGGGAGGTTTTATGATTAGGCATCTGGTATGGTGCTAAGTACTTTTCCTGTGTTATCTTATTAAATCCCCTCAATAAATCTGAGACACCTGTTATTATTCTTATTTTACTGAAGCTCAGAGAATGAGGTCAATGACTGATGTCATCAAGAAAGCAGAGCTGGGATCTGAACCTCGGTCTCCTCAATATGTGATGTGAAGGTCACAGCAGACAGCTGCTCTAACCCAGGTATGACCACAGCGGCTCCTGCTTCCTGAGTGCTGACTCAGGGGCACTTCCTAGACATCCTTTCTCCTTCTCCTCCTCCGCCTCCTCCTCCTTCTTCTTCTTTTTATCCTCACCTGAGGACGTTTTTGCATTTATCTTCAGATAGAGTGGGAAGGAGAAAGGGGAGAAGAGAGAGAGAGAAACACCGACTGGCTGCCACACACACGGCTCCAACCGGGGTGGGGACAAACTGCAACCGAGGTACATGCCCTTAGCACAGTGGTTCTCGACCTTTCTAATGCTGAGACCCTTTAATACAGTTCATGTTGTGGGGACCCCCAATAAAATAAAATTATTTTCGTTGCTACTTCGTAACTGTAATTGTGCTACTGTTATGAATCGCCATCGGAAATATGTGTTTTCCGATGGTCTTAGGCGACCCCTGGGAAAGGGTCGTTCGACCCCCAGGTTGAGAACCGCTGCCCTAGGCCTCCTGTTCTTCCCGCTCAGTGCTGGAGTGATTTTACCTACTCTCTAGGCCTCGTCTCCCCAAGGTGCGTTTTTTACAATATGCTTTTATTGATTTCCTTTTTTTTCTCTTTTTTTTTAGAGAGAGAGAGAAACATAGATAGGAGAGCAACACTGATTGGCTGCTTCCTGCACGCCCCACACTGGAGATCAATCCAGCAATCCAGACCTGTGCCCTGACTGGGAATCGAACCGGTGACCTCTTGGTGCATGGGTCCACACCCAACACTCAATCCAATGAGTCACACCGGCCAGGCCCCAAGGCACATCTTAAGCCCAACCCTCTCTCCTGACCACCAGACCCCTGATGTCCCACTGATCTCTTCATGACAGACCCAGACTCTCAGACACCCCTAAAAGCAAACTCATTCCTTTCCTCTGAACCCTCAGATCAGTGGATGGGTCTACCTCCCACCCACTTTCCGGGCCAGAAACCTGAGTCAGCCTTGCCTCCTCTCTCTCCCTATACCCTACACCCTGTCGGTTCTTTTTTTTTTTTTATCCTCACCCGAGGACATTTTTCCATTTTTTGTTCAGATAGAGCAGGAGGGAGAGAGAGGAAGAGAGAGAGAGAGAGAAACATCGACGTGAAAGGGACACATCGAGTGGCTGCCACCCGCACGACCAACCAGGGCCGGGGACAAACTGCAACTGAGGTACGTGCCCTTAGCGGGAACCGAACCCGGGTCTCTCTGGACCGCAGGCCGACGCTCCAACCGCTGAGCCAAACCGGCCAGGGCCACCCTGTCAGTTCTACTAAGTGCCCGTCGCCTGGCTGCTCCTTCTCCCCACCTCTACTCCACCTCCATGTCGGGACTCCACAGCGTCCACCCCGTCACTGTTTCCGGCCTCCAGCCTCGCTGTGAAAGTTCAACCACATACAGAGCTTCTCTTTGATTCAGGGGATTCCAATGGCACAAGCTGCCCCATTCTGACATATCTCAGAAATCTTTCATTACATGTCCCAGAAGGTATCATTTTAAAATCAAGCATTCAATAATCACAACAATGTCTGCCTTTCAAAACTTGCCCTGCAGATCCTTGCAACAGCAGAATTGCCCAAGAGTTTTTCTCTGGTACAATGAACACCACTTTGCAAAAGGCATACAAAAATACACTATCAAAAAAAAAGAGAGACTGTCTCTAGCATAATACCCATTAGCAGCTTATGAAACACAAGCTTCCTAGACCTTCGATCTTGATAACCAAAGCCAAATCTGAGTTTTAGATGAAATGTCACAATTTTTAAATGTTGGTAATCAGCTTTTTTAAATGTTTTTTTTTTTTTTTTACAGATAGAGTGGGAGGGAGAGAGAGGAAGAGAGAGAGAGAGAGAGAAACATCGACGTGAAAGGGACACATTGAGTGGCTGTCACCCACACAACCAACCAGAGCGGGGGACAAACTGCAACCGAAGTACGTGCCCTTAGCAGGAACCGAACCCGGGTCTCTCCGGACCGCAGGCCGACGCTCTAACCGCTGAGTCAAACCGGCCAGGGCGGCTTTTTAAGATCTTTAAATCCAGGAGCATATAAGATCTTGCTCGCCTGCATGTCATCAGTTTGGTTCAAAAATACTCTTGTAGCTCTCGCCGGTTTGACTCAGCAGCTACAGTGGCTCTCAACCTTCCTAATGCCGCAACTGTTTAATCCAGTTCATGTTGTGGTGACTCCCAACCATAAAATTATTTTTGTTGCTACTTCATAACTGTAATTTTGCTACTGTTATGTCTTAGGCGACCCCCGTGAAAGGGTTGTTCAACCCCCAAAGGGGTCGCGACCCACAGGTTGAGAACCAGTGCCTTAGCGGGAACCAAACCCAGGACTCGCTGGTCCACAGGCTGACACTCTAACCGCTGAGCCAGGGCCCTTTCTCCTTCTTACAGAGCCCTGCAAGGTGGGTATTACATGCAGAAGTGTCTAGTAAATGTTTAACCAATGCATCTCTGGGAGAAAAGAGCCCTGGTTTATCGTGTTTGCCAGTTACGGTGGTGTAAATACTCCCACCATGGCCAACTTCAAAGTACCGAGAGGACACCATTGACTGTAGTGTTGGGAAGTGATGCACAGTCGGCCCTCGGGAGGTGGTGGGAGTTGGGTCCAGCACACCACAGGCTTATGATCACATACAACTAATAAGGAAACGAAGGCTTCCAGAGCTTAGGACACTCATCCAAGGTTGGTTAGCTGGGCAAGAGCGAGGGGAAGAGGTGAGTGGGTGATGAGTTTGGCCAGGGGGAGATGGGACAGGAAGCTGGAGGTGGGGAGAGAGGTATGTGAATCTCACCTCCCTCTCTGGAGACTCCTCGCCCTGCGGTGCTGGAGAAGGGGAGTCAGGCTCAGTGTTGGGGGGTGGTTTCTGAGGGCCCCCCAGACCTGCCAGTGTGTCTTCCATCATCCACAGCTGCTGCTGAGCAGATGTTCTGTCCTGAGGGGAGGAAAAGAATGTGCTTCTCAAAGGTGGGAAAATGCAAGAGGGTTAAAGTTGATAGGCCACAGGCAGGGTCTGAAACAGTCAGCTGAGCTGTATTTAGGAGTCCTAAGTGGACGATGTGTGCATATGGGGACTATATTTGTGGATCTCCATTTCCATAAATGGTCAACCCACCACCATTTATCACAAACACTATATTTTTCATACTGCTCTGCAGTGTTACCTCTGTCATAAATAAGTGACCAGATAAATATATGTGAGTCTGTCTCTCAATACCCTATCTGACTTTTTGGTCCATTTATCTAACCTTGTGTCAACACTACACTGTCTTTTTTTTTTTTAATCCTCACCCGAGCACATTTTTCCATTTTTTGTTCAGATAGAGTGGGAGGGAGAGAGAGAGAGAGAAACATCGACAGGAAAAGGACACATCGAGTGGTTACCACCCACACGACCCAACCAGGGCCGGGGACAAACTGCAACCGAGGTACGTGCCCTTAGCGGGAACCGAACCCGGGTCTCTCTGGACCGCAGGCCGACGCTCCAACCGCTGAGCCAAACCGGCCAGGGCTTGTTTTTTTTTTAAATATGTTTTTATTGCCCTGGCTGGTTTGGTTTAGTGGTCAGAGCGTCAGCCTGAGATCCGGGTTCGGTTCCCGCTAAGGGCACATATCTCAGTTGCAGTTTGTCCCCGTCCCGGTTGGGGTCGTGTGGGTGGCAACCAGTCCATGTTTCTCTCTTGCATCTAGGTTTCTCTCTCTCTCTCTTCCTCCTTCTCTCCCTCCCACTCTATCTGAAGATAAATGCAAAAATATTCTCTGGTGAGGATAAAAAATAACAAAAATATGTTTTTATTGATTTTTAGAGCGAAGGGAAGGAAAAGGAAAAGAGAAACATCGATGTGAGAGAGAAACATGAATTGGCTGCCTCCTGCACGACCCCTATTGGGGAGCCTGAAACCTGGGCATGTGTCCTGACCAGGAATCGAACCGGCGACTTCTTCGTGTATGGGTCAACATTCAACCACTGAGCCATACCAGCCAGACTCAGTGAGGATTTTTTAAAAAGAAGAAGAAAAGTAAGAAAAAGAAAGAAAGAACAGAAGGGAAAGAGCTTGTGATAAAGGGGGAAGTACTTCAGTTCTGTGGAAGGAACTTAAATGCCTAAAGGGTTTCCAGGTAGACTTGGAATAGAGGGTGGGGCTTGGGGACTTGGGACAAAGATGTACCTGGGGGGACCCAAGGTGCAGCAGGTACTCAAGGGTCTCTCTCAAGGTGCCCAGCTCCTGCTCCAGGCCGTTGTACGTGTCCCAAACCCGCTCTCGCTCCTCGGATCCCAGAAAGGGGAGACACAGGGTTAGCATGCCCACCCACTAGATCCTTCCCCGCCCTATCTTTTCTTAGATGAAGAGGAAGAAGGGAGGCCTGGTGCCCTAGTGGGTACACGGACTACAATTTCCAAAGGCCTTTTTGCTACAACTACCGGGAACCCCAGAGTCTATATGGAATCTGCCGTTCCAATGAGCTGCTAGTGCAGAATAATAACAGCTTTCTCTGAATCCTCTGCATTACCCCTGCCCAGCCCTGATAAATTCTTGGGACAGTCAAGACCACAACCCCTATGCACCCATAGGCAGCAGAAACCTCCTTGCCAATAACAATAATAATAATTAGAGCAGCTAATATTTTTGAGGCATAAAATGTGTGTTAGGCACTGTTTTTAGCACTAATTTATTTATTTATTTATTTATTTTTTGTATGTGCCCCTAGCGGGAACCGAACCCGGGACTCTCTGGTCCGCAGGCCGATGCTCCAACCGCTGAGCCAAACTGGCCAGGGTTTAGCACTAATTTAATTCTTGTGATATAGATACTATTAACGTTTCCATTTTACAGATGATAATATTTAGAGCTAACATTTAAATAGTGCTTATCATATGTCAGGTGCCTAAGTGTTAAATATTCATTCATTTACGTATATTTATGAAATCTCCACGATGCCCCTTATGAAGTAAATACTATATTTATCCTCTTGAGTTTACATAAGATTCATCTAAGGCCCAAAGGGATTAGGTAACTTTCCTAAGGTCACTTTTCATAGCTACACTATGAGTGGGAGCTGAGATTCAAAGCCAGGAATCCCATGATCAAAATTACCCTCTTAAACCACTAAAGTAAGTTCTGTAGCTTCCTGGCTGCTCACCGCCTAGGACAGTCAAGATCATTGGCTTAAAATTTGGGAAGGGGGCAATTCTCAAGAGCTCCCTTCCCATGAGCTCTTAGGGTCAGGTCCCCTTCAGGAACAACCTGTAGAGTCCTGGGGCCCCCTGGGAGGGCATGTCCTTTCCCAGATGCTCACCTGAGTCAGATGACAAAGAGTGGCCCTCACACTGACCAGTCGGTCCTGCAGGAGGCGCTGACGCCCCCAGGCCCTCCGGGGAGCCACAGCCTCTTTGCTTGCTTGGCCCAACTGCTGCCTGGTCAACTCCAGGGCTGCTTCTAGCTGCTCCTGCAGGGAGAAAAAAAAAAGGTTAACCTTCTGAAGCCACACCAGCCCCAGGGAGTGAGGAAAGGTGTCCTCCCACATCCCCATCATCCAGCATGCTGAGGATCAGGACGGGCTGGGGCAGGTGGAGAGGCGAGGTGTCTCTTCCCATCCCGGAGCCCCATACCTTCTCCTCCTGTCTCTGGTCTATCTCCTCCTGCAGCCTCTTCAGGAGCCGGTCCTGCCCGCACAACTTGGTCAACAGAGTCTGAAGAAGGAGAATGGGAGCCATTTATGGACCAGAGCTGGCTTTTCTTCCTGCCCCACTCCCACCCTCCGCACACACCTAGAATATTCTCTCCCCAACTCTGGGAACTCAGGAGGGGTTGGACCCGAAGAACTTACATCTGTCTCCAAGCTTTGGTGGAAGGAGGAGTCCAGGGGAGGACCTGGCTGAGAGAAAGGAGAAAAGGCAGGGGTCACATGGGCAGTCAGGTCCTTATTTTAGCTCAGAGCCAAGTTCTGTTTGTACTGACAGACACCCCTCTCCTTATTAGCTTCTTTCCAAGCTTTAGCAAACCTCAGTAGACCAAATGTCTACATCTTGGCTTTGGAGAGGTACAATGGGTTCTGTTACCAAATAGCTATAACAAATATGATTAATGGAAAACATTTAGACATTTTCTTTACAACTGAGACTAAGACAAGGATGCCCACTACCACTGTAACTGTTTAACACAGTATTAGAGATCGTGACCAATGCTATAAGAAAAGGAAACAAAAAGAGGTGTAAGAATAGGAAGGAGAGCCCTGACCGGTGTGGTTTGGTTGATTGGGCATCTTCCCCTGCACCTAATGGTTGCCGATTCAATTCCCGGTCAGGGCACATGCCTGGGGGCTGGCTCTATCCCTGCCCTGCTGGGGGGCGTGGAGGAGGTAGCCAATCAATGTTTCTCTCTCTCTCTCCTTCTCCCTTCCTCTCTCTCTAAAAATCAATTTAAAATCTTTTTTTTTTAAATCCTCACCCTAGGATATTTTTTTATTTATCTGCAGATAGAGTGGGAGGGAGATAGAGAAAGAGAGAGAGGGGGAAACAGTGATATGAGAGGGACACATCGACTGGTTGCCTCCCACATGACCCTGACCAGGGCCAGGGACCAATCGCAACCAAGGTACATGCCCTTGGCCAGAATCAAACTTGTGACTCATTGGTCCGCAGGCCGATGCTCTTCCACTGAGCCAAACCACCCAGGGCTCAATTTAAAATCTTTAAAAACAAATAGCAAGGGGAAAACAAAACCATAATTTACAGATGATATGTTTGCCTACCCAGAAAGCCAACAGATTCAAAGAATGAGTAGAACAAATAAGAGAATTCAGCAAGGATATCCGGTGCAAGATGAAGCTACAAACATTAATAGCACATCTCTAGCCCCGGCCGGGTAGTTCAGTTGGTTAGAGCATCATCCCAATATGCTAAACTTGTGGGTTTGATGTCTTGTGGTTAGGGCACATACAAGAATCAACCAATGAATGCATGAATGAATGGAACAACAAACTGATGTTTCTCTCTCTATTGCTCTCTCTCTCTCTCAAAATATCAATCAATAAAAAATTGTTGTTGTTTTAAATAGCTTATCTTGCCTGGCCAGTGTGGCTCAGTGGATTGAGCGTCATCCCATGGACTGAGAGGTCCTGGTTCGATTCCCAGTCAGGGCACATACCTGGTTGCATGTTCAATTCCCCAGTAGGGGGCGTGCAGGAGGCAGCCAATTGTTTCTCTCTCTCATCCATGTTTCTTCTCTCTCTCTCAAAAAAAAAAAAAAATTAATAAAAACATATTTTAAAATAAATTAAATTAAAATTTAAAAATAGCATATCTCTACGCCATCAATAACTAGAAAACATAACTTTAAAAGAAGATACCATTCAAATAGCTACATAAACTATCAGGAGTTTAGGAGTTGCCTTAACTAAAAAACATAGAATCTCTATGAAAAAAAACTTTAAAACTGAAATAAAAGATCTAGAAGATGATATGAATGAATGGAGAGGTAGTGTGTGTGTGTGTGTGTGTGTGTGTGTGTGTGTATAATCTCCCAGTTTTCAGCAACCCTAGGAAACTAATAGAAGCACCTACTCAAGGGCATTGAAACATCCGATCTTGTCTAGGCACACTAGTCCAGGAGGTGACATTCAGCATAGCAAAGAAAACAAGAGAGGGGGTACTGGAAGATTCGAGGTGCCCAGATACTTACCAATAAAACCATGGAAGCCTGAGTCCCAGGAGGTCTTGGGGGGAGCTGGATATAAGTGGAGGAGCCAGAGGGGGCCTGGGAGGAATACTGAAAAAGAGATGTTTAGAAATTGGCATGTCTTAGCAAAAAACATTAAAGTGGATGTGCCCAGAACTGAAGTGCCATAGGAAACTCTGAGGTTCAAAACTGGGCCCCCAAAACTTCCTCAACCATCTGCTCTCCAGCTGTGTGCCACTGTGGGGACACGGAGGATGATAATAAACAGACAAGCCTGGCCAAACTGTCCCAGGGGCCAATGGGAGTCACAGTCTATTCTGCCTCTCACACTTGCGGTTAGCTGTGGATATTCTGGGCCACAATCCCATGATGCTCAGAGAAAACAGCAGGCAACCAATTTGGAAAGATAAACCAGAGACACAAGGCGGTTGCAACACACACTACTTCTCATTGTCTTGGAGGAGAGTATTCTGGACAACAAGCCCCATAATGCTGAAGGTGTGATGGCCCAAGATCAGCCTAAAATGACAGCCCAGTGGACTGATGGGAGATCAAGTCTACTCTCCCTCTCACATCTGAACCAGCTGTGGTTATGTCCAGCTACACTCTCCATGATGCTCAGGGGCAATGGCCTGCAGACCTGCCTGGAACAACCACCCGAGACCATAATGGAGATGTAGCCATCGCCTCTCTACTCACCTGCGTCCTGGCCTCCTGACTCCAGTGCTGGGGACTCCTGGGAGGCCTTCCTCCCCCAGCCTCGGTGGAGGGTCCCCGGCGGGGAGTGGGAGGCCGAGAGAGGGTCTGGCGCTGGGGGCCCCAATCCGAGGGAGGGCGCACGTCCACACGACTCAGCGGGGTATGGGGTCTGCCCGGGAGTGCAGTGTCACCTGCGGAGGGAGGGAGTCTGCGTGCAGGAGCAGAACGGGGCCGGGGGAGGCTCAGAGGGGAGGGAGGACGAGAGAGGGGAGCGAACAAGCTGTGGGGAGGAGAAAATCGGGGAACGGGGTCAACTAGAGCCCCTCACCCCACTACGCACCAAGTGAGCCTCACGGACGCATCTCCCTTTGTCGCGTCTCACTGTCCCACTAAGTGCAGAACCTTCCTCTTAGCCAGATCCTGAACAGTTTCTCCCTTTATGGCATCTCCTCAAGCCTTTTCCCCCACAGGGTGTGACCCCACAGGAACCCCAGCAAGTCATACTCCGGGGACAAGGGCGCTAAGCCACGCCCCTAATCAATCCCAGCCTCCGCCCTTCCCTTAGGCCATGCCCCCAAGGGAGCCCCCCCACCCCACGCTCAATAGAACTTTCTCCTCCCAGACTCCCTCGTCCAACTCACTCAGGGCTCCTGGTCCTCTGAACCCCGGGTCCAGACTGGAGGTCGGCGGTGGAACTGGGAGTGAGCAGCCCGGGGCGGCCACGATCTCTGGAAAGCCGAGCCACTTCCGACGACTCTAAGCTGCGCCCCTCTTCCCCTTTGCTCACCTCCGGAGGCCCACCAGGGCCGCCAGGGCCTTCCCCTGGCTGGGGACGTGCAGGTGACCTGGGTCGCCCACTAGCGAGTGGGCACAGAAAAAGACATCATTCCTTTGAACATCGTAACAGCCCTTATTCTCTCTCTCTCTTTTTTTTTTTTAATTCTCACCCAAGGACATTTTTTCATTTTTTGTTCAGATAGAGTGGGAGGGAGAGAGAGAGAGAAACATCCATGTGAAAGGGACACATCGAGTGGCTGCCACCCGCACGACCGAACCAGGGTTGGGGACAAACCACAACCGAGGTACATGCCCTTAGCGGGAACCGAACCCGGGTCTCTCTGGACCCCAGGCCGACGCTCCAACCGTTCAGCCAAACCAGCCAGGGCATAGCCCTTATTCTCAATTCACATATAAGGCACAGGGATCTATATAGAAAAGAAGGGGGAGGTAGTGCACTATAAATCATTGTCCCCAATTTGCAGATGGGGAAACTAAGGCCCGAGTGTGGAAGTGACTTGTAGAGGGTCACAAAGTCCATTCAAGTCACTGAACCCAATGCCGCAGACATGAATATCCAGCCTCAAAACTGTGCCAGATCGGCTCAGAGACAGTCTGAAGCCGTCTTTTAAAATCTGACACTGTGTAGGGGGCAAACTCTGGGTGTAGACTTCTGAGGGGGTCAATATTGAGTGTGGAATATTGATAAGGGGGGGCGCTGGACAATGTGATGGGCGGAGCTTAGAGGAAAAGACTCCGCTGATTGCAAGAGCTGAACTTTTTCCAATGCGCGGGCCTGAAGGGCGGAGTCTCCTTAGCTATAAAACTAGTGATTGGATGTCAGGCCTCAAGGGGAGGAGTATGGGAATGATTAGACGAACCCTGGTTGGAGCTACAGGGTCAGGGGCGTGGCCTATAGCTCACCAATCATCCCCCTCGGCGCGGGAGGCCCGGCCCAGCGCGCGAAGCCAGCCCCGCAAGTCCTCTAGAGTGTCTGCAGCCAGGATGTAGGTCCTCATGCCCGGGTGCTCCGCCTGCGGGAAGAGAGAGCTGGGGACCCGGACACCTGGCCCTCCAAAAAGGAGGATGCCATCCATCCTAGCCGAGATCTTTTATCTACAATAATGTATGCCCCAATGCCTGCCCGCGTCGCCTAGTGCCTTAGCGCCCACAGTGGGATGGAGGGACTCACCGTGAAGGTGAAGCGCCGCCCTCGGGGGGCTCCTGGCCCATCTGGCCTGATATTGTAGCTGGGGAGCAGCACACTGCCCAGGACGCTCTCCTCACGGCTGTCTGCAAAAGAGGGGCTGGGGTCAGGGATCACAGTGGGAGGGGCGTCCGCCACCCCACGCCAGCTGGAGCACTGACCCTTGTAATAGAAGAGGCAATGGCCGGACAGGACGAACCAGCGGCGTTTCCAGAGCCGGAGCCCAGAGCTGTCCTGGGGAGAGAGGGTGGGACGAGAGGCATAAGTACAGCAGAGAGGAAAAAAAAGAGATGGAGACAGTGACACTTGGGAACAAAGACCCAGAGAGAGGGGAGGACAGAACACGTTTGATGCAACAGATTCGGATGGAGAACTGAAGGGCTGTTGTCTTGTGGTTGTGAGGACATAAGATTGCGGACACAGTCAGACCTGAGTTTGACTCCCAGGTCCCCCACTTTCAAACTATGCCCTTAAACAAGTCATTTCCCCACTAGGACCCTCAGGTGTTCTCATCTGTCATCTGGGGATTGAGAAGTTACAGGAAGGTTGGAACAGGTGTACACCACACATGGGCAGGGGCTGTATATATCTGATTATTGTGGAGCCTGAGTCACAGAGAGGCCAGGAAGGTGTCAACCGAGTTCTGCATCTCCCATCCCCTCTGCCAGAACTACTCCATCCCCAACCTTGTGTTCCTCTTCTCTTCAACCCCTTCTCACAGAAGCCAGAGAATAAATCAAATCATGTGAGTCCCCTGCTCAAAACAAAGCTTACGGTCACACTTAAAATAATTGCAAATTCCTTACCCTAGTTTTCTGGCTTACAGGAAATTTCAAACTTGGGCGTGCATAAGACTGGCCAGGAGGACTTGTTTAAACCCGACTCCTGGGCTGGCCGGTGTGACTCAGTTGGTTGAGCGTCATCCTGTGCACCAAGAAGTCTTGGGTTCTATTCCCGGTCAGGGCCTGGTTTCGGGCTCCGTTCCCAGTAGGGGGCTTGTGGGAGGCAGCCAGTCCATGTTTCTCTCTCATCCATGTTTCTATCTCTCTCTCCTTCTCTCTTCTTCTCTCTCTAAAATCAATAAAAACATATTTGAAACCCGATTCCTGGGACCAGCCCCCACAGTTTCTGAGTCAGTAGATCCCAGATGGGGCTGGACAATTCACCTGTCTAGCAAGTTTCTAGGTAATGCTGATGCTGCTAGTCGGGGACCACACTTTGAGCATCTATTCCCTTGGCTTCCTCCAAACACCAAGCCTGCTGCAAGGCCTTTTGCTTTCAGAATTCCTCTGTGCCCCAGATCTTAGCATGATGGGCTCCTTCTTTTCATTCAATTCTCAGCTCAAATGTCTTCCCCTCAGAGATGCCTTCCCTGACCAACTGACAAAGGTAGCTTTCATTCCTCAGCCACTTTTGAAAATAACCTCATGTTATTTCTTCACAGCACTTCACTTCACAGAAATTCCTACAATCTGAAATCATTGAGTTCACATCTTGTATGTACATGTTATATACAGCAGATATTATTTCATTTCTTCCATTTATTTATATACGGATTCGTTATCCATCCCCGCCCATGCCCATCTTGAATGAACTATATAGATGCTTGTCCTATTTGCATGGTGTGTGACCCAGGGCTTGGCACATTGTAATGTCCAAGAAATTGTCATCGAATGAATGGATGGCTGAATGAAACAATGATAGAATAAGAGGAGAAACGATGATGGCAGCAACAACAAAAAATATTTGGAGACTTGGAAAGACAGAAACAGCGGACAGCCAGGGGCACAGCCTCCAGCATCACCCAGAACGTCTTGTCCCCTCCCCCGCTCACTCCACCTGCTTATGCAGCCAGCCTCTGATGTGCACGGGGAGATTGGGATCCCTTCTGAGCGCATTGCCTCTCTTCCCGAAGGCGTGCACCTTGCTTACTGCCCGGGTGGCCTTCTGAGGAGAGAAGGACAGAGGTGAACAGGGCCTCCAGGTGGGTTTGCGGAGGAGGCAGTGCAGTGGGACACAGGCGACCCCCTCGCCAGGCTGCCCATAGAACCCAGGTCAAGGAGGGAACTGAGTTTTGAGATTAGAATGGGTGTGCATAGTGCAGAGTTGAGAGACACTTTTCATGCATGGAGAAAGGTGCTCACAGGCAGGGAAGAGGCTACTGGCCAATGGGGAGGAATTCTGGGATGAACTGCCCATTCCCAAGGCGGGGGTGCCCTTGGCCACCAGAGCCAGAGATGTGGTACAGCCTTTAAGATCGGAACTGGAAGAATTGCCTGGGAGGTCCCCATAATCAGGAGGGACCTTCATGCTGAGTCCCTGGTCAGAATCAAAGGACACTCGGGTGCCCGGGAGAAACAGCCCTTAGCAACCATGTCAGGGTACAGGGGGGCTTCAAATCGCTCCATCCCAGGAGACAGAGCCCCCCTCTCCTGTGCACACAGGCATCTGAGGCGCCCACGGCCACACTCCCACCGGTTGCCCTTAGGGACGGTGCTGAGCAAGGTCGGATTCGAATTTATGGATCCTGAACTTTTGAAACTGGAAATGAGTGAGGGCAATGGCAGGAGGACAGGGAAACGCGTGTCACTGAACTCTGGGCTGGAGTGACAACTTGGGCTGCAAGTTATCTTGGGCCTCACGTGGGCCTTATTGTCAGAGAAAGGTCTTTCCTTGTCGAATTTCAGGACTGGGGAGATCGGATGCTTAAAGATAGGACAGAGAGTTCTCAGTCCTGAGTAGGAGTAGCCGCTGCTGCACCTGGTCGGTGTGGCTCAGTGGACTGAGAGGTCCCAGTTTGATTCCTGGTCAGGACACATGCCTGAGTTTGGGACTTGATGCCCAGTAGGGGGCGTGCAGGAGGCAGACCATGGATGTTTCTCACATCTACGTTTCTATCTCTCTCTGCCTTCTCTCTCTTTAAAAAATCAATAAAAACATATATTTTTTAACAGTAGCCGCTGCTTCTGAGTTCCCGGACGGGGTGGGGCTTGTGGCTGGGGAGTGGCCTTATCTTAGCAACCAGAGTCACTCCAGTGTTACTCTGGCTTGAATCAGGAAAATACAAGGGGTGGGGACAGCGGGAAGTGCCTCTGGATTCCTAGCTGCATCTAGTAAGCAATTCAGGACCTAACTAGGTCTGGCAGACCTCATTGCTAAGGATCTTTGCTCTCTGTTTTGTTTTGGTACATGCCCCTAGCGGGAACCGAACCCGGGACTCTCTGGTCCACAGGCCGAAGCTCCAACCACTGAGCCAAACTGGCCAGGGCCAAGATCTTTGTTCTTAACAATCATAGTCACTGGGGTAGCGCCGAACCCAGGGCTAGGAAACAGGAGGATGGGGCAGCCCAGAGCCCTGCCCGCCTCCCCAGCCCAACCAAGAAGCTCCAACCTTGGTGCTCAAGCTGCCGAGCGAGGAGATGGTAGAGGCGCTGCTGGCCAGGCTGAGGCTGCTCCGAGGCCTGCCCTCCTCCATCAAGGACTTGGGGAGAGAAAGAAAGGGACTGTGTGCGTGTCTCTACAGCTGACCCGGCTGGGGACAGAGCCGAGGTCAGGGGCTCTCAGGTCCGAGAAGGCTGAGGAGAAAGAGCCTGTTGTTTGGGGACTGGGGGGCTGGGCAAGGCCCTGGCCTGGGACCACATACCAAGAGTGATGCCAAGAGAGGTGGGCGGCACTGGCAGCTGCGGGGAGGGGGCAGCTGTCTGCAGCCCAAGGCAGAGAATAGGGGCTCCTTTATTCTTGCCCCCTGCACAATGGCCAGGAATTTGACCCTCTCTGTGCTTAGGGACCCCCCATTCCCTGCCTCTTCCTCCAACTACATGTCTACTGCCTTCCCTAATGAACCCCAAACCATCCCTGCCAAGCCCTGGGACACCTGGCATGCGCACCCAGGTGGTCCCTTTCAGCCCAACCAGAAAACTTACCAGCTCGGGTGTCCCAAGGACAGGGGCAAGAGGACGGTGTGGGTGCTAGGGCACCCAGCCACAGTCGCCCTCCGCTGTCTGTCAGGTGCTGCCTCTCGTAGGCTTCACTTATCTGTTCGCTCACACTCTTTTTGTCTCTTTGTCTCTTATGGTCTCTCTTTCTCTCACACGCTCCCTTTTTTCCACACTGTCTCTGTCTCTGGTCTCACTTTCTGTCTGTCTCCCTCTCTAATCTTTGTCTCTTCCAGTCTCTCCACTCATTTTCTCTCTCTCTCTCTCTCTCTCCCTCCTTCACACACACACACCCATATCACTTTCTCTCCCAATCTTTCTGTTTCTGTTCAAATCTTTTTCTCTCCGACTCACTGAGTCCCTTCCTTAAGTCTCTATCTCCCTCATTCTCTCCCTCTCTCCCTCACACTCAATCTCTTCCTCCTTCTCTCTCTCTATGGTCCTCCACTTCTGCTGTTTCCTCCTCTCCCTGATTCTCCTTCTCACTTTCTCTCTTCCTCCCTCTCCCAGTTTCTTTTCCTCTGCTGGTCTTTCCCTCCCTCTGCCAGCCGCCCACGCTGCTGTCTCCCCTCCCAGTCCCGGCTGACCCCGCCCATCTTGGCCTCCCCACCACAGCCTGACCCCTGGCTCAGCTGCCCCCACAGCTGAGAGGAGGAGCTGGGGCCCCCCTGATTCCTGGGTCTCTGCTGGGCTGGAGCCTGGAAAGCTGGGGACCCATAAAGGCTGAGGCTGATAGTCCTAAATGTTTAGAATGTAGGAGCTGGGCTTCCACTCCAGGGTCCCCATGGACTGGTTGGGGTCAGGAGCCTGAGTCATTGGTACCCTGAATGGAGATAGCTTAGATCTTGGAGGGGGTGATGTTTCAGACCCCTGGGTATCTGGAAGGGTGTGAGCTAGGACTCAGGACTCCTGAGTTGTGAATGGAGCTTGGGGTCAGGAAGTGTGGCTCTGTGTGGGTGGGTCCAGGTCCTCCAGGGAGGAGGGAGTGGCCCTGGATTCCTGGAGCAGGGTCAAATTGACAGGGTCAGATTTCCACCTCAGATCCAGATGAGAATTCTGTTCCAGTCTGAGGCCGACCCCCTCAGGAGGGAGACATGGTTTCTGGACATATTTTGAGGAGCAAAATTATGGACCAGGTAAGGGGGTTGTGTTGGGGGAACTGAGACTGTGTCTCTGGGCCTGGAACTTTTGGCAGAAGACTCCCACACCCATGAGGTTCAGTGGATACCACCCAACCAGAATTTCAGTTTGTGTAATAGGAGCTCGTGGGTGATTTTTTTTTCTTTTTTCTTTATCCTCACCCAAGGACATTTTTCCATTTTTTGTTCAGATAGAGCCGGAGGGAGAGGGAGGGAGAGAGAGGGAGAGAGAAAGAGAGAGAGTGAGAGAGAGAGAAACATCGATGTGAAGGGACATGATGTGAAGGGACACATCGAGTGGCTGCCACCCACACGACCAACCAGGGCCGGGGACAAACTGCAACCGAGGTATGTGCCCTTAGCGGGAACCGAACCCGGGTCTCTCTGTACCGCAGGCTGACGCTCCAACCGCTGAGCCAAACCGGCCAGGGCTCGTGGGTGATTTTGAATCGGGTGAAATCCAGGCATGGAGCCTTGTGCATGAAACTGGGAAGAGGTCTGAGCTTTTGGCTTCGTATCCACTCACTAAATATTGGTCAAGTACCTACCAGGTGCCAGGTATTGAAAAGAAATCCGTGAGCAAAGCAAAAGGCCTGCCTTCAGGGTGCTTACATTCTTGTTTTCATTTGCAATGAATCTACACTTTGCTGTGACCATTTTCAAGCCTCAGTTTTCTCATCTGTGAAATAAAAACAAAAGTACTCTCCCACACCTGGGAGGAGCCCACCGGATGTGAAGGTGGGAGACTCTAGACTGGGGCCAGATGGTTAAATTGGGGTAGGAAGGCGTGTGCTCCATACAGGGGTTAGGAGAGCTCGGTAACAGCTTGAGCCCTTTACGTGTTTGATTGACAGCTCGCTCGTTTCAGGGCGTGGCCACGCCCAAAACGCCGCCGTGATGTCACAAAGCCCGGAATTGCCGCGAGAATTCCACCCTTCCTTCCCTTCCTGTTTCCAAGTTTTCGTTTCGAAGCTCCGCCCTCTCCTCGAGACGTAAGGACGTCAGGTCGCGTCGGACTATAAAAGCCCGGCGGGCGGCGCCCTTGTTCATCGCATCTTTTCGCAGCCCAGTTGTTTTTTACATGTGCCACTCTGCACGACCCCGCGCCCTTTTGTCGCGACAGCGTTTGCAGCGACCGGTGATCATCTGAGCGCCCGAGCCCGACGTCGGAGGGAGAAATGAAAGCGCTGGCCTCCCGAGCCGTCCGGATCTGCGATTGTTTGTGGCAGCCCAAGCCGGCGCTTTTGTCCCCGGGGTGACGCGCGGCCCTCCGCCGGTGAGTGAGGGTCAGCACGGATGGGTCCCCACCGGGTGGGCATCAGACTTTTGGTCATTTCATGAGGAGGGAGTTTCGACTTCTGGGTAATGAGACAGGAAGGTTCGGGGCCGGGTGCTAGGTTTGGAGGAAGAGGGCCTGGGAGCCTGAATTCCTGGGTCTGGGGAGCGGTGGGACGGGGCAGACTCCAGGGCTCCGACTTAAGTAGAGGGATTGGGAGCTTGGAGTGCTGAGCCTGACGGAGGACGGGTCTAGGAGCCAGACTCGGGTCCCCAGTGAGGAACCATCGGCGTTGAGGGGGATCGGAATTTTTTTTTTAAATTGATTTCAGAGAGAGAGGAAGGGAGAGGGAGAGGGAGAGAGAGAAATATCGACAAGAGAGAACATAGACCGGCCATCTCCTGCATGGCCCCCCCTGGGGACCCGGCCTACTACCTGGGCATGTGCCCTGACCGGGAATCGAACCGGCGACCTCTTCGTGCCTGGGTTGACGCCCAACCACTGAGTTACAGCGGTCGGGCAGATCGGAATTTTTTAATTGAATTATTTTTGTTACGGATGTTTCTCCTCCCCCCACCCCCCAGACACCGTCCTTCCTATCCCACCCCCCCATCGGAATTTTTTAGTCTCCAAAGGAGGAAGGTGATGGGGGCCTGGTTTGTCAGTCCTCAGGAGGAGGAGAGAACCAGGGACTGGGACTTCATCCCCAAGAGGAGCAAGTAGAGGACCTGTGCTCTCCTTGCTTGGGATTGGGACTTTTGGGGTCTGAGGGGAAATGGGACTGGGGGCTTGGATTCTTGGGTCTAAGGAGAGGGTGGAGACTCACACTCCTGTTTGTGTATAGCAAGACTAGAGAGGTGATAACCAAGGGAGAGAGATGGGAGTGGCTTGTATCAGAAAGGAATGTGGGCAGGGACTTTCATGTTACTATTTGTGTTGGTATTTCCCTTGCTGACTCAGCCTCATGCCCTGATGCTATTTTCTAAATGGCTTCTTACTCCCTTTTCCTCAGCCCAGACAGATGGTGCCAGGCCAGGTGCCCCGTCAGCTCCCCTGGAGGGATGCCCTCCCCTTCTTCCTCCTGTCCCCACTAATGGGCCTTCTCAGCTGGGCCTGGAGCCGGCTGAGGGGCCCAGAACCTCCAGAGCCCTGGCTGGTGGAAGCAGTAACGAGTGCAGATCAGGGAGAAGCTGGCCTGGAGGGAGAAGCTAAGGCTGCTTTGGCCACCCACTATGCCCCCTGGGGCAGGTACCCTCAGGGAAAGGCTGGAGACCATGGAACAGATGTGGAGGATAGAGAATCATCCTGGGGGTCCTGCCCTGCCCTGAAATCCAGCAGTTCTCTTCTTGAAGCCTGGGAACTTTCAGATGGTGGGGAAGAAGCAACCAGCGTCCCTACAGAGCCGGGAAATGAATATATACATGGCCAGCCTGCTCCCCTGTCTCCCAGCCTTCAAAGAACCCTGCAAGACCCTCCTGAGGAGGAGGAACCTGCGGAAGGAGGAGTCGCTGAAGATGAAGTGATCACATTCTTCTCTATCCCTCTTTCACACTGGGAGCAGCGTTGCCCAGGGGTGGAGGAAGAGGATGGAAAAGCTGTAAATAAAGCTCCCAAAGCTTGGGTGTATTGCCCGGGGGAGGAAGAGGCTCCAGCCAAGGAGGAAGGAAGAACAGAGAATAAAGAAAGCAGGAAGACCTCCATTTCCTCTTCATCTTCTGGCTCCCATCCCAGCGCCTGGGGGTGTTATTTAGGAGAGGAGTCTGAGGAAGAGGATGGAGAAGCTGGCCCAGAGCCACACTCTTCCGCTCCAGGCCACAGGCCCCTGCTCAGGACCTGGCAGCATCAACCCAATAAGATCACAGAGGAAGATGCAGAGGAGGATGAGGACAGTGTTTCAGGAGAAGTTGAGGGTCTGTCTACCATCCCCTCCACAAGTGCTTTCATCAAGGCCTGGGTGTATCAGCCAGGAGAAGACCTGGAGGAGGAGGAGGGGGAGGAGGAAGAGGACAGTAATTCAGGAGTAGCTGAGGAAGAAGCTGAGGGTCCCTTTTCCATTCCTCACACAAGTACCTCCTTGAGGGCCTGGGTGTACCGACCAGAAGAGGATACAGAGGAGGAGGAGGACAGTGATTCAGAAGCAGCTGAAGAGGAGGAAGCTGAAGGTCCCTCTTCTATCCCTCCCACAAGTGCCTTCTTGAGGGCCTGGGTGTACCGACCAGGAGAGGACACAGAGGAGGAGGAGGAGGAAGACAGTGATTCAGGAGCAGCTGAGGAAGAGGGAGAAGCTCAGGGTCCCTCTTCCATCTCTCCCACAAGTACCTTCTTGAGGACCTGGGTGTACCGACCAGGAGAGGACACAGAGGAGGAGGAGGAGGAAGACAGTGATTCAGGAGCAGCTGAGGAAGAGGGAGAAGCTCAGGGTCCCTCTTCCATCTCTCCCACAAGTACCTTCTTGAGGACCTGGGTGTACCGACCAGGAGAGGACACAGAGGAGGAGGAGGACAGTGATTCAGAAGCAGCCGAGGAAGAGGGAGAAGCTCAGGGTCCCTCTTCCATCCCTCCCACAAGTACCTTCTTGAGGGCCTGGGTGTACCGACCAGGAGAGGACACAGAGGAGGAGGAGGAAGACAGTGATTCAGGAGCAGCTGAGGAGGAGGAAGCTGAAGGTCCCTCTTCCATCCCTCCCACAAGTGCCTTCTTGAGGGCCTGGGTGCACCAACCAGGAGAGGACACAGAGGAGGAGGAGGAGGACAGTGATTCAGAAGCAGCCGAGGAAGAGGGAGAAGCTCAGGGTCCCTCTTCCATCCCTCCCACAAGTACCTTTTTGAGGGCCTGGGTGTACCGACCAGGAGAGGATACAGAGGAGGAGGAGGAGGAAGACAGTGATTCAGGAGCAGCTGAGGAGGAGGAAGCTGAAGGTCCTTCTTCCATCCCTCCCACAAGTGCCTCCTTAAGGGCCTGGGTGTACCGACCAGGAGAGGACACAGAGGAGAAATATGAGAAGAATGAGGATGAGAAAGATGATTCAGAAGCAGCTGGCTCAGGGCCAAATTCTTCCCTTCAGGCCCAGAGTGCCCACCTCAGGGGCTGGACACGTCCACCTGGAAAGGAGGCAGAGGGACAGGAAGCTGCAAAGAAGTGGGGAGAAGTTGAGTCCCACCCCTTTCGAGTGGCCATCTATTTACCAGGGGAGAAGCCACCACCTCTCTGGGCTCTTCCTCAACTGCCTCTCCGGCTGCAAAGGCGGCTCAAGTCTGCAGAAACCCCCACCCAGCATCTGGACCCTGAGACTCCCCAAAAGGCTAGAAAGGTAGGTGATGAGGGCTCAAATTCTTTTTTGTTTTAAAGCTGGGGACAGTAAAACAAGGAAGGGCTTAGGACAGAAGACAAAACAGGAGACAGACTAGGTGGGGCTGCTTTTGGCTCACTGGAAAGTCAGAGAAAAGAGAGTCATAGAGACAGGTTCGGGGGGGTTAACCCAGGACGAGCTGCCACTGCCCATACCCTCCTGATTGCAAGTCTTGGGAACCCTTAGAGTTTAGGAGATGCACGCCTAAGAGGAAAGAAAGGCCAGGTGAGGATGTGCTCCCTGGAGGGAGAGTTAGGGAGGAGGGAGCTGGGACTCCTGCATCCCCTGTGAGTTGCAGAGAGTTGCATGTGAACCCTGCTGGGAAGGCTGTGTTCATTGTAATGCAATCCTTTGCAAGAGGGCGGGGGAGGGGGGGGCAGCTGTGGCCCACGTCAGCCCCAGAGAACCACCTTCACCCTCAATGAGTTGTATGAAGAATCTAGTGGCAGGCAGGTGACTAGTCAGATTGCAAGCATTTTTGTATAATTTTTGTCTGTTCCCCCCCTCCCCCTACCTGTGGTTTGTGTGTATCTGTGTCTGTCTGTGCTGGCCTGTCTCCAGGTACACTTCTCTGAGAAGGTCTCCATCCATTTCCTGGTTGTCTGGGCTGGACCAGCCCAGGCTGCCCGCCGGGGCCCCTGGGAACAGCTTGCCCGGGATCGAAGCCGCTTTGCCCGCCGAATTGCCCAAGCCCAGGAGAAACTGGGCCCCTGCCTCACCCCTGCAGCTCGGGCCAGGGCCTGGGCACGCCTCCAGAACCCTTCTCCTTCTCTGGCTGCCATACCTGCCACTACCCAGGCCTTGCCCACATCCTCTGTCCAGGGTACACCCTTGAGCCAAACTGTGGCCTCTCCCTCCCCTGTTTATGTATCATGTCCCCCTGCCTAGACCTCAGTAGGAGGCATGGCTGGGATCAGGTGTTTATTGTGTTATTTATTATTCACTTATTTATTTAAGAAATAAAGCCTTTTGATTTGTACTGAGCAATGCCACCGTGTGTATCTGAACTGACAGTATCTGCTACTTATAGGACCTGGAGGTAGTTGGGAAGAATAGCAAAGAGGCAAGCACCTTAATAGAGGATAAACTACATTTCCCATCGTCCCTCAAATTTGCTTCTTGTCCTGAGGCTGCTTTTGAAAAACAGGCTGGTGGGTTGTATAGTTTTTCTTTGCTCCCACTTAAATGTTATTAAACTTGAGACAGTTATCTCCCCAAGTGGGCTGGGAGCTAGGTCCACTGATCTCTAACACAGGGTTAAGCTCCAGTTTTCTGCATCTCCCTGGATATACTCATCCTCCTACTGGCCTTGACATAGTGAGTTCCTCAGGGTTTTCAGCTGCCTGGTTTCACATAAGCTCTGTGTTCATTGACTCAGTTTCCTTATCTGTAGATGTGGCTAATAGTTGCATATACCTTATGGGACCATAACGCCCCAAAGGAGTTCGTATTTAAGATAATGCTTCTCATCCAGGCCGGTTTGGCTTAGCAGTTAGAGCGTTGGCCCGAGGACCAAAGAGTTGCTGGTTCGATTCCAGTCAAGGCCATGTACCTCATTTGCAGTTCGCCCCCAACCCCAGTAGGGATTGTGCAGGTGGCAACCAATTGATGTGTCTCTCTCACATCAATGTTTTTCTCTGTCCCTCCTGCTCTATCTGAAGATAAAATGGAAAAATATTCTCGGGTCCAGCTGGTGTGGCTCAGTGGTTGAGTGTTGACCCATGCAGAAAGAGGTCGCCGGTTCGGTTCAATTCCCGGTCAAGACACATGCTCAGGGCACGTGCCCAGGTTGTGGGCCTGATCCCCAGTGGGGGGCATGCAGGAGGCGGCCAATTGATGTTCTCTCATTGATGTTTCTATCTCCCTCTCCGTTCCTCTCTAAAATCAATAAAGAAAAAATTTAAAAATTATTCTCGGGTGAGGATTAAAAAAATTAAAATGTTTCTCACCCATGCATGTTTCCAATTACCCATCCAAGTTTATGTCTCCAGCTTAGAACTTTCCTCTGACCTCCTGAGATCTGTCCAGCTTCATATCCTGCCCCTCTTCCATTGGTCCCCACGCTCCAACCATGCTATCCTTTCATTTTCCCAAACCAAACAAGTCCCCTTCCACCTTAAGACCTTTGCATGAACTCTGCCTACTGTCTGATGTTCCCATTCCTGGCCCCCGGCTCAGCTAGTTCTCATCATTCTTCAGGTTTAGTATGAAAACCACTGTTTTTTAGAGATGCCTCGCTCTGACCCAGCTGACTTGTGCCTCCATGTGCTTGTCACCTTTTAGCAGAGAAGCACTTTGATTTTTTGTTTAAGATCGTCTCCGCCCAGCCGGTGTGGCTCAGTGGTTGAGCATCCACCCCATGCATTGAGGTTGCTGGTTTGATTCCGGTCAAGGCACATGCCTAAGTTCTGGGCCTGATCCCCAGTGGGGGGCATGCAGCAGGCCAGTCGATGTTCTCTTTCATCAAAGTTTCTCTCCCTCTCTATTATCAAGAAAGAAAGGAAGGGAGGGAGGGAGGAAGAAAGGAAGGAAAGAAAAAAGACCTGTCTCCCATGATCTACTGAGTCCCGCTGAGCAGGTGCTGCTCAACAGCCCACTCCCTGGAACCCAGGACTGGACAACCTGGAGGTATCTAGTAAGTGTTGGTTATTAGTAAGGTGATGCCAGAGACGCATGCTGGAGCCCTTTCTCCAAATGAGCAGGCACAGGAGCTGTTGAGAGCATCATATTTCATTGAATTACTCACACGCCAGTTTCCCATCGAAACTGGACAAGCAGATGGCAAAGGCCTGGAGTGGGCAAAGCGGGAAGCAGAAGTCCATGGTGAACAAGTCTGCGGCCACGCGGCCGAACTGAAGCACGAAGTGGTCCGCTGAGGAGGGAGTTAGGAACAGCCTAATCAGACTCCTTTCCTGCTGCGGGTCTATGAATTGCCAAACCTGAGAGGCTGTGTGGCGCCCTTAACTAAACCCCAAACCTCAAACCCCACCGAGGGCGGTGTAAACTACAGCTCCCAAGAGGCTTTGCAACAGCGTGGCGTGGACCCTGCTGAGAATAACGCGTAAGTGCTGATGGGAGAAGTAGTTCTTGACCAATCGTGCCCCTCCCACCGCACCACCACCACCACCACCACCACCACACCAGCCTTGCCCATGTAAACCGGTTACTAGGAGCTCACGGTCTTCCGGGTGCACGATCTGGAAGTTCTTGACCGAGGCCTGAGTGACTCGACCGTGAAAATTGAGCACATAGGCGCCCGTCTCACTGCTCCAGGATGGAGCCTTGTTTTTCAGAAGGACCAGCCCCTGGTTGGTCCCCTGTCGGAGGCTACTCATAACTGATTCCTGTTCCTAGAGGGTAAGGTAGGGGCACGGTTAACCTACCACCTGCTCCCTTTTTCTCCAGACACAGAACTAGCCTCTCTTCTCTGAGACACCTAAGTCTTACCAAAGTCCTCCCGGCTTTACATATTACTTTCTGCAACCATGGGCCCCCTCCTCCCTTAGGACCTAGGGCCTGTACCCTAGCCCTTCCTCCCCTATTGACCCAGAGATTCTCAACCTTAGCCAACTCACATTTTGTGGCTGGATGCTGATTCTCCGGTTCTGGGCATCAATTCCTGGAATGATCACAGTCATTTTCCGGGGCCCTCGGAATCCCAAGACATTGGTCTCCTGCAGGTATTTCGCTCCAGTTGGCCTCGCTCTTTCTCCCTCCCCACCATTCCACTCCATTCACTCTCTAGTCTCCCGGACACTCACATAATACACGACGCCGAGCTCCTCCCTGATCCGAGCAGTCTCCGGGATTAAATACTTTTTTTCAGGGTTCACCCCATTGTCGAAGATGGTGAACTTGGTGCCCAAGACATTAGATCTATTCCAGGAAGGCCGTGGCCAGAATAAAATAATAATGATTATCCTTATGCTGTTTGTTAACTTCTTTGCCATGTCATCTTATCAACTCTTCCCATCAAACCTCTGTGTGACACTCATCCGTGCTCCACGTGTCCACAGTCCCAGCCCTGTGAGCCATGATTTTGGCTTTCCTGCCTTGTCTCTGTAGGAACACTCTTCCTTCCCTCTAGGACGCAAGAACTCACACATCCCAATCCTCTTCTCCTACTCAGAGGCTTAGGAGTCCCCAGCCCCTTGCCTCTCAAGAAGTCAAACATCCTCAATGCCAGCCTGTGCTCCCAAACCTTCGCTTCTGTTTCCAACCACCCTGGGGTTACAACCTGAAGAACTTCAGAGCCCATCAGTCCCTAAGGGAAAAAGTCCTAGAGCAGGTAGAATTTGTGCTCTATGGCCTGCTGGGAAATGTAATTCAATTGTCCCCTTCTTCCCCCAAGTGCCCTGTCATCTGCCATTTTCTTCTCACCACATCAGGGCTCTGCTCTGCCTACCTGACTTTGCCCACAAAGTTGTCCCCATCTCGAGACAGGTCAGTGGGGTCGAGGGAGATGAGGTAATTAGAGGTTGTGCTCCTTTTTCTCTTGCGGCCAGCGAGAAGGAAGTGCTGTGGAAGAACAGTTAATCAGATTCTATTTCTGGTATTTGGCTCGAGGTAGGGGTCCACAAACAAGGAAACACTATGACAGAGGGAAGGTTAATAGGCAATAATCGTCCCAAGGCTTGCTGGGGGATGGCGGTTCTCGCTGAAGGAAGTCATCAGCTGGGTCCCGAAGGGGTACATCTTAATAAATCCCCTTCAGTCCTTCTGCCATTGGGTGCAGAGTTCAGGCAGAGCCCAGGCAGGCAGGGCCTGGCTTTGGGGAATACAGAAGAGCCTCACTTTGAACACTGCAATGGGACTTTAGGTGTTTCATCTGGGAAAAGTGAATCTGGCTCTGAGTAGGAAAAAGCCCTTTTCTGGGATAGATAGAGTGCCTTGAAGAGGGGCAGCCACAGACTGAGAGGGGCGTGGCTTGACTCTGGATAGGAAATCCAAGAAGGGAGGGGGTTGGTTCCTGAGAGGGCAGGGCTTATCGCAGTATTGGGTGGGGTCTTATAGCAAAGAAGGCTCAGTGAGGTGGCCAGACTTGGACCTATAAAAACGAGGTCTAGCCCTGGTCGGTTTAGCTCAGCGGTTAGAGCGTCGTCCCTAGGACCAAAGAGTCAAGGTTTCTATTCCGGTCAAGGGCATGTACCTCGGTTGGGTTCGAACCCTGACTGTGGTTGGGGTCATGCGGGAAGCAACCAATCAGTATGTGTCTCTCACATCAATGTTTCTCTCTCTCCCTCCCTCCCACTGTATCTGAAAATCAATGGAAAAATATCCTTGGGTGAGGATTTAAAAAAAAGATGGAGTCTAGAGGGTATGTAAGGGGTGGGGTTTTGGACTTTGATAGGACATAGCCTGACTTTGAGGAAGCCACGCCTATCTCCATAATGGGCAGGCCTTGGCTTGGGATGTGCAGGGCCTTTGCCACTGGGCTGTAAGGAGCTTAGTTCTGTGAAGTTTGGGAGTTGGGGTTGAGAGGTCCGAACTCAGTGATGAGCAAGGCCTGAATTCGTGAAAATCTTGACCTCACTGAGAAAGGGGCAGGACTGCCCTGGGAGATGGGGCATTGCTCCCAAAGCTGCCAGACAGCACCTTCCGGCCGTGGCCATCGATCGCTTCCAGGTAGAGGTAGTAGAAAGGGAACATGCTCTTGTCTACACCGCGCTTGTCGCGACTGATGCAACACTGCACCGTGCAGCCGCGCACCGCTGGCCGCAGGACATAGGCTTCCATGTCCTCGCCCAGCTGAGGGCCTGGGGCGGGGAGAGACGACAGGGACGAGCTCCCCACATCGCTGAAGCCCGCGCTGTCCTCGCTTTCCAGGGCTTCGGACACCTCGGAGGCCACCCCTGGGAAGTTCCTCACTGCAGACTCCGATTCTTCTTTATTTTCTTCCAGGTCTTCTCCCTGGCCCACATGCCAAATTCAAGTTGACAGCCCAAATGCAAGTCACCTCCCCAGTTCCACCCCACTAGCAAAATAGTGATTGGCCATCCCACTCAAGGTTACGCCCTCTCTCGACCATGTATTCTACCTATTGGTCAAACATCTTGGCCACCTTCTGATTGGTCAGCCCTTTTAAGGTCCCACCCAGTCAAGCCTCAGTCATTGTTGATTGGCCAGCACCATTAGCTTCCTTCTGCAGCCATGCCCACTTCATCTAACTATTGGAGAATTCCTTTGCATGGCCCATTCAGCTAAAATTAGTGTTGATTCAATCTGGATCATTTAACATGGCCTGGATCTATCCAAGTGAAACTATCTCACTTTCATCAGTTCCAAAGTGAGTGCCAACTGGCCCTTCCCTATCACTGTTTCACCTTCTCCAAAGTTCGCTGCCTTTCAGTGGACTGGATTTTGATGTGCTCACATCAATTCAAACAAATCCTCTAGATTGAAAATGGAGCACAAGCAGAGCCTCTGCTAGCCCAATCACAAGTTCCACCCACCAGTAAAACGGGCCTCTGATTGGGCTGCAGAACTTAAGCCCACCCTCCCTAGAGTCCAAGGCTCCTCCTCCTCCTCCTCTTCTCTCTTGATTGGCTGTGCCACCTCTCACCCTGTTGGAGGCCAAGGCTCCTCTTCTCAAATCACTATCCTTTCCAGGGTTTGGTTCCACACTAGACAACTCGTATTCATCTCCAACATTCTGGGATTTGTTCTTGTCCTCTGCACTGGACCCTAAGGGATGAAAGAAGCCAGAAGACTGAGCTTAGGATACCTGAGTTCCAGAAGCTTAGGACAAGGTCATCAGTGGCAGCTGGAGAAGACCAGAACTCCTGGGTTTCTGGCCCCTACTTATGACTCAGTGCCCTCACTTGCCAGAGCCTCCCCTCCTCCCCCCATGTACAGGTTCTACACTGGTCAAGACGTCTCTGACTGCCCTGGGTCTAAGGACAGAGAGGGGTTCAAGTTCTCCTTTTCCCTTGTTCCAGAGAGAACACAGGAGAGACTGGGGATCTAAAATGGGAGTGGAGGGAAAGAGTGGAGTTTTGGGATGATAATTAAGATTCCTGTTTAGAAATAGTGAACCAGTTGGTCATGTCATGAGAATAAAATGTATCACAATGAAATATTGAGGAATAAAAAGGAATAACGTATTGATAATACTACAACATAGATGAACCTAAAAACATGTTAAGCTAAAGAAACCAGTCACGAAAGATCATATACTGTCTCGTTCGATTTATACAAAACGCCCAGAATAGGCAAATCTGAAGAGACAGAAAGTAAATTAGCACTTGCCTAGGGCTGGGAGAAATGGGGGGGGGGGGGTGACTGGTAAAAGGTACAGGTTTCGTCTGGGGTGATGAAAATGTACTAAAATTGATTGTGGTGACAGGTATACAGCACTGTAAATACACACAGAAAACATAGAATTGTAAACTTTAAATGAGTGAATTGCATGGTATGCGAAATATATCCTACAAAAGCTGTTACAAAAAGGGGTAAGATTTGCCACTTGAACCAGAGGGCCTGAAGATGTCCCCCAAATTACCAAATCCTTGTCGGGGTGGCCAACCTCTGCGTCTTATCCCTGGAAGCTCTTTAAAAGGAGGGGGAGAGGCAGGAACGTCCTCCACGAAGACCTCCTCCAACTCCGGATAGAAACCGTCTGGTAGCCAGGACAGAGAGGGGAACTGGAGACTGGGATTTCTGAGTACTAGGGGAGGCAAGGTCTGGAGATTCAGATTACTGGGTGTTGGGGAAGGAGAAGGTTCAAGACCTGGACTCAGTGTGACAGATTTCAGGGCCCGTGGGGGTCTGCACTCCCGGGTCCTTTGGAGAGCAAAGATTGATGTTTCAGGCTCTGGGGTTCTAGTGGGAGTGGGGTTCTAGGATATAGGCGGTCCAAGGGCTTGAGATTACCCGCTTCACTGGGCGATACCAAGGGGCTGCGCTCGTCGCTTCCATCTCCACCACAGCTCACAATGCCCAGAGCATCGTGGGTACCAGAGTGCAGATGTGCCTCTGGCACTTTCTCCCGGAGGAAAGGGTTCCCGAGGGCTGGGAGACAGTGCAGAGAGGCCCATCAACACGATGTACAACTACCGGTCCGTTTCGAAGAAGATCCGCCTCCTTACTGGGCTCCCAGACATAGCCCTGATTGAATGACTACCCAAACCCCAGAGACCCATTCAGAACCCAAATTTCATTCCAAGACTCGAACAAGAACAGCCCTACAACTAAATTTTGGACTCTTTGTGTAACAGTCCCAGCCAGGTTCTCAGTCTGTAGGACCAGGTCTCAGATCACCGGGGCTTCGCCAATTTCAGCCCAGGGCCTGGCTTTCCAGGTCTCGCCCCGCAGCTCTACCAGGCCCCGCCCCAGCACTCCCTAGACCCCGCCCCACACCTTTTGGGTGGTCTACGGCTCCCGCAGGCTCCGCCCCAGAAATCGAACAAGTCCAATCCCGGGGTTCTCACCCTCTGGTTGCCTTCTGCCCTTCACCAGCGCTCTCTCTGGGTCCAGGGCTCCGGCAGGGTCCCCACCCTCTGAGCCCTTTACCGCCCTGCGCCTCACTCCCACAGACCCCTCCCTCCTGGCCTGCGGTCCTGCCGGACCCTTCCTCACCGCTGTCACCTGCGAGACGCTCCGACCGCACTCGCGGTCGGCGAGACCGAAAGGAAGCGTCAGGATTGGCCTGAACCATGAGGAACTCTTGGCGCTTCCGTCGCTGCTTCTTCTCAAATAACCGCCGCTGCGGGAGCAGGAAAGGGGTGTGTGGGGGCCAGGAACCCTGCGGAAGACTGGGGTGGAAATAGGCCTGGGGAAAGGGGATGCCTGCATCCATGGGAGAGTTCTTGGGGTCCAGGCGCTCAGTCCCTCGTCTCCTCCTTCCTCAAACAGAAGTCCTGGCACCTGGACCCCTCCTCCTCCAGAACCTGGGAGTCATACCCTCCGGAGCTCTTTTAACTTAGAACTTTTGGAGTCTCGTTCCCAAGGTTTGCTTTTGTAGGATCCCAAATTCCTATTTTCTCATTTCCCAGCTGCCGAACTTGAGACTTCAAGAGATCCAACGAGCGCCAGGAACCCCAGGGCAAATCCTAGGGCTGGGGCCCCTGGAGCGCTATGGAAGAGGGCACAGGGGAGTGTCCGGGTTCCTAGTACCTGTTGTTCCAGCTTCTGCAGCCTTATGGCAGCGAACTCATCCCACAGGACCCTGAGAGAGATGCAGGCTTATGGAGACAGTAAGCAGGGCACCCTGGTTGCCCAAGAGACCCTCTCTCCCCTCCCAATTTAGGGTTCTGAGCAGTTGTAAGGTCACAGAAGGGGGTAGAATCTGAGGCTGCTCCCTCAGTTCTGAAGCTCTTTCTCCCAGCACTGGCCTGTCTAGAATCCAGGAGCCAGAGATCCCAGGGCCCTCCTGTCTCAGAACTCAGGAATCCAAGCCCTCAACCCCTCCTCTTTCAGACCCATTGAGTCTTCATCCAAGCTCACACTCCCTTTACGTAGGACTCAGAAGTCTAGGACCCCCACCCTTCCAGCAAGGCCGATGGTGCTGGACCTGCAAACACCGTTATGCAGCTGCAGCTGCGTGTGTGTGGGCGTAATCAAACTCTGAGTTCTCCCTGGCACCCCTTTCTCCGTCCCTACCCATTCCGTTTCCGCACTCACTCTTTCTTCCATGTGTCATTCTCCTGAGACATTCTGGAGAAACAAGAATGAGGAGTCAGGACTCAGACCCAACATCCCAATGGACTCTGCTCCTCCCACCCCAACACCTGTTCTTAAGCTTTTACATTTTATCCAGGACCCAAGAAGCCTGAATTCCAGCTCCTACTCCTGTCCAGGAACACAGCAGCCTAATTGCAGCTTTGGTTACTATCAGGGGCCCAGGACTCCAGTTCTCCCTCCCTCCCCCCACCTCAAATACCTCTCCCCTTCACCCAGGCATGGGAACTCAGAAATCTGGGCCTCGAACACCCAATCTCCAGTGACCCCAGACCACGGACACCCATCTACTTGGGATCCTGGAGACTCCTTCTCCTCACCTCCTGCCTGGAGAGGCTTTTCACATTCACACCTCAGTGTTTTGCCTCTCTGGCCAATTTCTAAACTTACCTGACTAACTGGGAGCTGGGAGCTAGGGACCTAATCTCTGGGTCTCAGGGGAAATAAACAGGGCAAAAAAGAGGTCTCCGAGGAAGGAGGGATTCCCTCCCTCTCTACCCTAATCCCCTCCCTCCTGTTCCTTCACGCTCAACTTCCAACGAAGCAATGACCCCTGGCTTCTACCGCAGCCAGGCTACCTGTTCAAGGTGTTCTGAATTGGAAGGGATTGCGAGTGTTCCTTAAAGGGACCCCAGAGAGGTTGCAGCGCAGTTTCACTCTACAGCTCTCACTTATATAAGAAACTTACAAAGTAACCTGTGACAATCGCTATTATTGATCTGTAACTTGCAGCCACTTCTTTAAGGGTGAAAACTACAACTCCCATGAGGCGAAGGGGCCAAGCTAGCACGGAAGTTGAGTCATTTCCCCCCCCACCCCGGTCCGCCGGAAGTTGTAGTTCTCTTTGAAAGTCTCCGGTCCACCTTTCGCCTCAAAGGCAGGAAATGTGTCGTCAAGAATTTGGGCTTCCGAGAAAGGAGGCAAGTCTTTCGTAAAAAAAAGCGAGTGATTTCGACAAGGGGCGGGACCACTAGGCAAGGATCCAACGGCCGGGAGCCAGCGTGGACCAATCAGGATGCGGAGGGAGGGTCTTCTGCGGGAAAGTGGGCGTGGCCTAGGGGCAATCGCCCGGAACGCAGCGGAGTCTCTAGCCCGGGAAAACGCCCTCTGCGGTGGCGAGGTGAGGGGCTGGCGTCTTCTAGACTCTTGGGTCCCGGGAAGGAGGGGAGGTGGAGGTCCAGAGGGCTGGAAGACCGAGTTCCGGAGGAGGACAAGCCGGCACCAGCTCTCCTAGGTCCTAGGATAAAAGGGCGTTGGGGGCTTGGACCTTTGGGTCTGAGGTAAGGGGGACTTGAGATCCCCGATTCCTGAGCCAGCTAGCGAAGAGGGTGCAGGGAGCCAGGACTCCCGAGTCTGAGGAAGGAAAAGCCGGGGGCTCGGAATTTGGGGTCCCGGAAAACGAGACTCTTTGATTCTTGACTCTTGGAAGGAAGAGGAGCGTGTGGTGCTGGGTGCCTGACTCCGGGGTCCAGGGAGGGGGCTTGGGACGGACATTACCCACCTCTCCGCCCGCACAGGTCACGCCGCCATGCCTCCGTCTGGGCTCCGAGCAGCCCTCCTGCTCCTGCCACCGCTGCTGCTGTTCCGCGCTGTTCTGACCGTGCCCCTGGAGCGGCAGGCGCCCAAGGATGAGAGCCCCGCGACCGAGAGCCCCGTGAGTGGCCCTGTCCTGCTCTCCAGCCAGGTGTTTGCAGTGGTACTACAATTCCCGCGGACCACCGTGGCCCCTGGGTGGATACTCCCCCCGCCCACGGACACGGCTTGCAGTTTGCCTGCCATTCTTTGTAGTCCCGGGGCTTTGACGTGGTGAAAACTGGGTCGGGGGCGGGGGGGGGGGGGGCGGAAGGGCTAGATTTCTAAGCCCCTGACTCTGAGGTGTGTGAAATCTGGTCAGATTTAAAGTGAAAGATCGGCATCACCTCTTCTCTACCCCCACCCTCTGCCCTCCCCCCTACACACACACCTAAACCTGAGTGGGGGGTTGTTAAAGACCCTTCCTCCTCAAGAAGGAATTTGAAAAAAAAAGAACTACATTTCCCAGTAGCACCTTGAGCAGGTGTTGTGTGTTGTCAGCTAACTGGGCTGTTCTCACTTCCTGGAGCTTGTGGGAGTTGGAGTTCAAATTACAAAGGGGCATATAAACTGTTCATTTAGTAATTCCAATATGCGTTTATCTGACACTGTGAAACCTTTGGTCTTAAGGGTTTGGTAATAGAACTTGAAAGATTTCCTCAAGGCCAATGCCCTGATTTATTACCTGACTCCTCCTACCGCTCCTACTAGGAATGGGCACTGTCTCTGGAACAAATCATGCCACGCTCCTGTGTGACAGGCCTCTGCCCAGTGAAATCTTTGCAGACACAGAAGGGCACCTTTGTGTTCTCTTTTCTTTCATTCATTGCACACATTTCTTGAGAATCTTCTATGAGCCAAGCACAGAGCTAATGCAAGCCCAATCTAGCTTGCGAGGCTCCTGAGAATGGACACCAGGAGTGATGGTCAGGGAAGAAGATTCATTGAGCTGAGATCTGAAGTTCAGGGAAGAACCATTCCAGGCAAAAGGAATAGCCTGGGCAGAGACCGTGCGGTGGAAAAGGTCAGTGTGGCTGGATTGAGCAAGAGAGTGGATGAGGGCCTTGTGGGCATGGCAGAGAATTTCTTTATACCGAGGCTAATGGAAAGCATAGAATGTTATAAACATCAGTAACAACGACAGTCATGATAACATCACAACAGATGGATGAGGAAACTGAGGCACAGAGAGATTAAGTAACTTGTTCAAGGACTAAGGTTGCCAGACTTAGCCAATAAAAACACAGAACACCTAGGTATCATAGCAGTCCTAACAAGATTTCAACTCGCTGTGTTTGGCTGAATAGTGGTCCCCAAAGATGTCCCCACCCTAATCCCCAGAACCTGTGAATATATTACCATTTATGGCAAAAGAGTGTTTGTAGGTGTAAGGAATCGGGGGCGCCGCCGAATAAAACAGAGAAGAGACTGGAGAGCCAATCAGCTGAATAAACAGGGATCAGGCTTTACTGGGTACACTCCGGGCAGGTTCACAGACTCCGGGGGTCGAGTCCTAGAAGCCGCGCTCAGTGTAGGGGCTTGTGTCTTTTATATCTGCCTGTTGTAGCTGGAATTTGGCCCTGCGGGGGCTATGCATGGAGCCTCTGGAATGTGAGTCGATAAGAGCAAGATGGGAGTTAATCTATAGGCTCGAGGCAGGCCGTTCAGGGTGGGAGACAAGGCTGAGCAAGGTGACAATGGTCGAGCACTTTGCCTGGCGCCAGTCCCCAGGCCATCGGACAGTAGGTATGCCTGGGTTAATCAGCTTGAAATGGAAACCTGGATCTCTAGATGAGCCTAATGTAATCACAAGGGTCCCTAGAAGAGGAAGGCAGGAAGGTCTGAATCAGAGGCCATCAGATGATGAAAGATGTCTGAGTGATGCAGGACCGTGAGCGAAGGAATGCAGGCAGCCCATAGGAGCTGGGCGAGACAAGGAAACATTCTCCCCTGGAGCCTCCAGAATGAGCTGAGCCCCACCAACCCATTTTGCACTTCTGACCTCCAGAACTCCAAGAGAATAAATGGGTGTTGCTCTGAGCCACTTAGTTGGTGATACTTTGTTTTAGCAACACCAGGAAATTAGTGCACCCAGGGTGACATAGCTGGGTGATTCGCTTACCGTGTATTGAGCACCTACTGTGTACTCCTCAATTAACGTAGTGAGAGCTACAGCAGATTGCGTATCTTCTATATCATCACGGCAGGCCTCTTACCTCATTTGCTTTTCAGCACAACTCTGAGGAATAGGACCAGGGGCCCAGGGAGTGTATCTGTCTTGTTCACTTGCTGTATCCCCTGGAACAGCACCTGCCACATGGTAGGGGCTCAGCGGATGCTTATTTATTGAATGAATGAATGAATAAATGAATGAATGAATGTTTCACTGCTTGCCAACAAGTACCAATGTGTCTGCTCTGTAAGCCCCACTCGGTGGGCAGTTTTGGGCTCGTGATTGTCCTTATGACACTCATTTTGTCTCCACTACCGACTTGGGAAGAGGTGAGAACTATGGCCTGGAGGTCAGGCTGGTGTCCGGAGTTACCAAGCAGATAGGGGTTCGAATCGGGTCTGCCGGCCGCAGAGCCATGGGGCAAGTCTCCTGCTCCAAGTGGGGGTCTCTCTGGATCCCTCAGCAGAGGCCAAGGGGGGCAGGGCCTGGGTCCTACCTTCCGGGAAGAACCAGGGCGGGTTCTGAAGCTGCTGTATTCCTCTCTGTCACCTCAGGACACAGGTTTGTACTACCACCGCTATCTCCAGGAGGTCATCAACGTGCTGGAGACGGATGGGCACTTCCGAGAGAAGCTGCAGGCCGCCAACGCCGAGGACATCAAGGTGCGCTGGGTGCAAGCGACAGGAGGGGACGTGTGCTCAGAGGGCAGAGTTTTAGGAAGGAGCAGGTTCCCCACAGGGGCCACGCGGCTCAGCCCTCACAAAGGGAGAAATGGCTTCTTGGGAGCCTGCGGTAAATGTCACTGGTGGTGGCGATCACTAAGCACCCCCCCCCCTTTTTTTCTTATCTTCACCTGAGGACATTTTATTTAGCATTTATTTTCACTGCGGGGAAGAGAGAGAGGAACATCGATGTGAGAGAGACACATTGAGTGGCTGCCACCCACATGAGCTCAACCGGGGCCGGGGACAAACTGCAAACGAGGTACATGCCCTTAGTGGTAATCGAACCCAGGACTCTCTGGTCCACAGGCCAACGCTCTAACCACTGAGCAAACCGGCCAGAGCGTGCGCCCCCCCACACACACACTTCTAAGAGTATTATTTTGACATGGTTGATTTTTTAAAATTAGTATTTTAAAACAATGTTTAAAGAGAGAGGGAGAGGGAGAAAGAGAAACAATGATCAGCTGCCTCCCGAACGCCCCCTACTGGAGATTGAGCCCACAACCCGGGCATGTGCCCTGACTGGGAATCAAACTGACAACATCCTGGTGCACAGGATGATGCCCAATCAACTGGACCACACAGGCTGGGCACCTGAGCCCATTTTTGAGGTCCAGAGCAGGAAAAGTGTTTGTTGGGAAGGGTCATGCAGTGAGCTGGTGCTGGAGCTGGAATTCGAACCCAGGCCCCCGGACTCCCACTCTGGAGATATGGGCACCAACCTGGTCACTGGGCTGGAATTGGCCTCCCATCCTCACTGAGGGACCTTGGGCAAGCGGTTTTCCTGGGCCTCACTTTGCTCACCTGGAAAATGGGGTTGTGAGCAGAACTAGAGGACAGACCCAGATCTTAGCTCACATGACTGGCACTGTGGTCACCTTATCCTGCTGCATCAGCAAGGGCCACACACCCTGAGGGCTCAAGGGACCCATGTGAGCCAGGAATGACAGGAAACCATCTGAGCTGTCCCTTATCGAAGGGCTCTGGGGAAGCCCCAAAGAGGGGCCCAGTCCAGTGTGAGGTTTGATTCTTCGTGGGAGTGTCTGTGGTAGAGACGTCGAAATGGGTGGGGATGGGGATGTGACATTTCAAGGGTAGGAACTATGTGTGCAAACCAAGCATTTTGGTAGGTTCAGCTGTCTGTTGGCAGTTCCTTATAACCAATGTAAAGACAAGGGGAGGGGACTGGAGGGGGTGAGTGTGGGGCTTTGAGTGTCAAGACAAGGGGAGGGGGCTGGAGGGGGGGTGAGTGTGGGGCTTTGAGTGTCAAGGCCAAGAATTCTGCCCTGGGGTCATTGGACAGCCCTAGGGACTCTGACTGAGAAACACATAGTCCAAAGAGATAATAGAAGTAGCTCAGCCCTGGCCGGTTTGGCTCAGCGGTTAGAGCATCCGCCTGCGGTCTGGAGAGACCCGGGTTCGGTTCCCGCTAAGGGCATGTACCTCGGTTGCAGTTTGTCCCCGGCCCTGCTTGGTCGTGCGGGTGGCAGCCATTCGATGTGTCCCTTTCACGTCGATGTTTCCCTCTCTCTCTCTCCCTCTCACTCTATCTGTGCAAAAAATGGAAAAATGTCCTCGGGTGAGGATTAAAAAAAAAAATAGAAGTAGCTCAGAGAAGTCACCCTGCTTGGCACAGAGTGTGTGTATGTGTGTAGGTGTGTAGGGGCCGAGAGGGTTGTTGGGGGGATTCTTCCCAAGGGAGGTGCCATCTGCTCTGAGTTTTGAAGGACAGCGAGGCTCTGGTTAGGCTTGAGAAGCAGTGGTGGGCGAGCTTCCCAGCAGAGGGACCAGCATGTCCAAAGGCCTGGAGGTGGCAGAGAGCCTTGACCTCGGGGTCCTATACCCAGTGGTGTTGCTGGAACCAAGAATGTGATTTGCTGAGTGACAGGAGATGGGCTCCAGAGGGGGGCAGGGCCTCAGATGCCAAGCTGAGGGGCTGGGACCTCGTCTCGGGGACTCTGTGGAGCCTTAGGGGATATCAGAAAGCTTGTAGAAGGTTCCAGAGAAAATGCCCCCTCCCCCGCCTCCAGCCTGACCAGTGTCCTCTCCCTCTCCGGCCAGAGCGGGAAGCTGAGCCGGGAGCTGGACTTTGTCAGCCACCATGTCCGAACCAAGTTGGATGAGCTCAAGCGGCAGGAGGTGTCACGACTTCGGATGCTGCTCAAGGCCAAGATGGATGCAGAGCAGGAGCCCAGTAAGTGGGGGAGGGGGGCTGGTGGGGCAGGAGCCCAGTAAGTGGGGGAGGGGGAGGGGACTGGTGGGGCAGGAGCCAGTAAGGGGGGGGGTCCCGGTGGGGCAGGATCCCAGTAAGCAGGGGGCGCTGGTGGGGCAGGAGCCCAGTAAGTGGGGGAGGGGGGCTGGTGGGGCAGGAGCCCAGTAAGTGGGGGAGGAGTAATGGGGCCCGAGCGGCATCTGTCCTGGGCTTCCAGCTGGTTCTATACTGGGCAGATGGGGCCACCTGTAAACTGTACATGGAAGACTGATAGAATATTCTTCCTGCCCCGGCCGGTTTGGCTCATCGGTTAGAGCGTCGGCCTGCAGTCCCAAGAGACCCGGGTTCAGTTCCCGCTAAGGGCATGTACCTCGGTTGCAGTTTGTCCCTCGCCCTGGTCGGTTGTGGGGGTGGCAGCCACTCGATGTGTCCCTTTCATGTCGATGTTTCTCTCTCTTTCTCCCTCCTATTCTATCTGAACAAAAAAATGGAAAAAATGTCCTCGGGTGAGGATTAAAAAAAAAAAAACAGCATCAAACATCTCCCAAACAGTGCTCGCTTCAGCAACACTTATACTAAAATTAGGGGAAAAAAATCTCCCAAATACCCTTAACCCAGATGCTCCCATGTTAGCATTTGCCTTTCATTTACATTTGCAACTTCCTCGCAAATATTTCAGTGCGATTCTCTTCTGAACAATGCCATTCGCTTACATAACCACAGTACAGTGACCAGAGTCTGGAGTGTAACAGGTCACTCTGTTGTTTTTCTCTTGCTTAGTTACTCTCATCTCCCCCTCTAGAATGACTCTGATTTGCTGGCATTTATGCCTGAGGCTATATTTTGTACTCTAATTACTTGACAGAAAGAAAGAAAGAAAGAAAGAAAGAAAGAAAGAAAGAAAGAAAGAAAGAGAAGAGAGAGAGAGAGAGAGAGAGAGAAAGAGAGAGAGAGAGAGAAGAGAGAGAGAGAGAGAGAAGAGAGAGAGAGAGAGAAGGAAGGAAAAAGAAAGAAAGAAAGAGAGAGAGAGAGAGAAAAGAAAGAAGAAAGAAAGAAAGAAAGAAAGAAAGAAAGAAAGAGAGAGAGAGAGAAAGAAATACTTGGAAGAAAGGTTTGGGTTTAGATTCCAAGATCCCAGCCTATTTCTAACATTCCTAGATGGGGTTTGCTATTTCTTTTAAATAGCTTTATTGAGATATATTTCATATACCATACAATTTAGCCATTTTAAGTATATAATTAAGTGGTTTTTAGTATATTCACAGTTATGTGTGACCATCACCGAAGTCAATTTTATTTTATTTTTTTATTTTTGTTAATCCTCACCCGAGGATATTTTTTCACTGATTTATTTTTTTAGAAAGAGCAGAAGGGAGAGAGGGAAGGAGAAAGAGAGAAAGAAAAAACATCGATGTGTGAGAGACACATCAATTGGTTGCCTCTTGCACAAGCCCCAACCAGGGTGGGGATTGAACCTGCAACCCAAGAATGTGCCCTTGACTGGGAACTGAACCTAAGACCTTTCAGTGCTCGGGCCTGTCCTATAACCACTGAACCACACTGGCTACAGTGTCGATTTTAGAACATTGTCATCCTGGCTGGTTTGTTCAGTGGTTAGAGCATTGCCCTGCCAACCAACAAGTTGCAGGTTTGGTTCCGGTCAAGAGCACGTACCTCGGTTGTGGTTTGTCCCCAGCCCTGGTCGGGTCATGCGAGAGGCATGTGGCTCTGTCACATTGATGTTTCTCTCTGTCTCTCTGTCTCTCTCTTCCTCCCTCTCACCCTATCTGAAGATAAATGGGAAAATATCCTCGGGTGAGGAATAAAAAAATAAAAAAATAAAACATTGTCATCACCTCAAAAAGAAACCCATATCCTTTAGCTGTCACCCTTATTCCCCCACCCACTGACTTCCTAACCACTTCCTGTCTCTGTGGATGGCCTGTTCTGAACATTTCACGTAAATGAATCATACAGTGTGTGACCTTTTGTGTCTGGTTTCTTTCCCTTAGCATAATATTTTCTTTTTTTTTTTCCTCACCCGAGGACATTTTTCTGTCTTTTGTTCAGATAGAGTGGGAGGGAGAGAGAGGAAGAGAGAGAGAAGCATCGACATGAAAGGGACACATCGAGTGGCTTCCTCCCGCACGACCCAACCAGGGCCAGGGATGAACCGCAACCAAGGTACATGCCCTTAGCAGGAACCGAACCCGGGTCTCTCTGGACCACAGGCCGACGCTCCAACTGCTGAGCCAAACTGGCCAGGGCATCCCTTAGCATATTTTCAAGGTTCATCTACATTGTAGCATGAATGAGTGCTTCATTCCATTTCAGGGCCAAGTAATATTCCGTGGTATGGATCTACCACATTTGGTTTATCTATTTATCAGTTGATGGACATCTGGGTTGTTTGCACCCTTTGCTACTGGGGACCATGCTATTTACTTATTGTCACTTTGTGGTGTGTTCTGATACTGCTGGGACATGTTTTGGCCCGTCACTAAGTGTAAGACATGCCTTCTTTACTGAGATTCACCTGGAGTTTCTTTCATCTCCTGACCCCCGTGAGGCCCCTGTGTCACAGATGGGGATCCCGTGCATCGGTGGAGGACATTAAGGGTCAATGGGAGAGCTGGCCTTTGTTTTTAATCCTCACCCAAGGACATTTTTACATTTATTGTCAGATAAAGCGGGAGGGAGAGAGGGAGGAAGAGAGAGAGAGAAACATCGATGTGAGAGAGACGCATCGAGTGGTTGCCACCCACATGACCCGAACAGGGGCTGGGGACACACTGCAACCGAGGTACATGCCCTTAGTGGGAACCGAACCCGGCACTCTGGTCCGCAGGCCGACACTCTAACTGTTGAGCCAAACTGGCCAGGGCCTTTGTTTTTATTTCTGTCTGACTCCACTTAGCCATGGACCAAACAGGTCTTGAGTCCTACTATGTGCTGGGCACTGGGCGGATGCTGGAGCTCCAAGGTGGCCAGACGGGCATGGTCTCCGCTCCTCTGCATAACCACCCTCGCCGTCTCTGCCCTGCCGTTCTCACTGTTACACTGTCAGAGTCTGAGTTGATTTCTGGTAAAGTAGATGTACCCTTGTCACTGATGAGAGAACTGTCTCCTGGTAATATGGTGACGTCCCATGTCCCAGGCACCCTGCTATAGACTTCAGCTTTGTCCCTTGACAACTCAAAATAGCTCCCGAATCTGGTCACTTCTCTCCACACCCATCGCTGCCCTCACGTCCCGCTCTCGGGTCCCGCTCGGAGCACAGCTGTCGCCTCCTTCCTGCCACCACCGATGCTGGTCCACCTGTTTATTTCCCACACAGCAGCCAGCGGGATCCTGTTAACGCCTGTGTCATTCCCTGTGGCCACTGTCACAAATGACCACACACGCAGAGTGGCTTAAAATAACACGCATTTATTCCCTTAGAGATCGGGGTTCAGAAATCTGAAATCGGTCCCACCGGGCTAGAATCGAGAGTGGCGGGGCTGCTTCGTTCCAGGGGCTCTCGGGAGCGTCTGTCTCCTTCCTTTTCCGGATCCTAGGACCGCATGCCTTCCTTGGCTGGTAGCCTTCCTCCACCCTCAAAGCCAGCAACATAGCGTTTTTCTTCAGTGATCATATTTCCTTCTACTGCAGTCGAATATCCCTCTGCCTCCCTCTTATGAGGACCCTTGGGATTACATTGAGGGATCGCCTGGGCAATCTGGAATAATCTCTCCATCTCAGGATCCTTCATTCAATCATATCTGCAAGGCCCCTTTGGCCACGTGAGGTCACATATTTACAGGTCCCGGTGATTAGGATGTGGACATCCAGTTCAAGTCCTGTTCCTCCTCTGCTCGGAACACATCCGTGGCCCTCCAGTGCCCTCAGGACCAAGTCAACTGTCCTCAGTGCTGCCTGGAGGCCCTGCCACGCCCCCCAGCCCCTCCCTTCATGTGTACGCGCTTTGTCCCACCACTTGCATCAGCATATTTTGTAAGTGCTAGAGTGCAACACGTCTTTCTCACCTCAGGACCTTTGCCCGTGCGCCTCCCTCTGCCTGGGACATTCTTTCTCGGGCTCTTTTCAGCTCCTCCGAAAGCCCCGGCCTGACCATCATCATGATGGAGCCTCTGATTCCTTCCTGGTCACGTTTGTCCCTTAAGCACCTGTTCTCTGTCTCTCGACTGGGTGCTCTGTGAGGAGGTTGCACACTCTCCTAGGGCCGTGTGACGGAGTACCGTGAGCTGCGTGGATTAGATCCCAGGTGTCTGCTGTCACAGGTCTGGGGGCCAGAAGTCCGAGATCAAGGTGTCAGCAGGGTTGGGTCCTTCCGAGGGCTGAGGAAGGGTGTGTTTCAGCCTCCCTCTTTGGCTGGTAAATGCCCAGCTTCCTCCTGAGTCGTTTCACATCATCTTGCCTCTTTTTAAAAATTTTTTTCTTTATTGATTTTAGAAAGAGAGGAAGGAGAGGGAGAGAGAGATAGAAACATTAATGAGAGAGAACATCGATTGGCCGCCTCCTGATGCCCCCCACTGGGGATCAGGCTCACAACTTGGGCATGTGCCCTGACTGGGAATTGAACCGGTGACCTCCTGGTGCATGGGTCAATGCTCAACCACTGAGCCACACTGGTCAGGCTCATCTTGCCTCTGTGTCAAATTTTTTTTCTTCTTTTTTTTTTTAAAGGATATCAATCATACTGGATCTGCGTCCACCCTAATGACCTCATTTTAACTTGATCTCCTCTGTAAAATCCTTTTCTCCAAATAAGGTCACATTCTGAGGTCCCGGGGGTTAGGACTTCAACAGATGAATTTCAGGGCCCACAGTTCAACCATGACGGGTTGAATGCAGATGCTCTGGAACCCAGTGGCTGGTTCTAATCCTCACTCTGCCACTTCCTAGATGGTGACTTAGACAAGTCACTTCCCCTGTCTGGGCCTCAGTTTTTGCATACATAACACAGGATAACCACAGAAGCTCTGTTATAAGATTCTTGTGAAAAGTTAATACATTAATATGGTTAATGTTTTTAGAGCAGGGCCTGGCATATACTAAGTACTCAATACATGTTAGTTGTTCTTATGGTTATTGTTATTTGAAGCAGGTGCCTCCGTTGTAGTGTCACCTCTGCCAGGAAGCCCTCCCTGATTGCCCCACGCTCAATCAGGCTGCCCTCTGGGCTTCTGCAGAGCCCTCTGACTCAGGATAGGGATTTAGAAAGAAAGAACATTATATGAATTGGGGTCCCCCCCCCTTTTTCCCCTCATCCAGATGTACAGTTGGATCACCTGAGCCTCCTGAAGCAATTTGAACACCTGGATCCTCAGAATCAGCACACGTTTGAGGCCCGAGACCTGGAGCTGCTGATCCAGACGGTAGTGTGAGGGGGAAACTGAGGGCAGGGGACTGAGGGAGCTTTGCGGAGGGGGGAGGGGAGCAGAGCCCAGGATGCAAGCCCGCTCACCACCGCCTGGCGTTCTCCGAGGTCGGCAGCTCGAGAGGGGCTGGTGGGTCTGAGAACCCTTCCCAGAGTCTGCAGGAAGGCAGAGGTGGAGGCAGGATGGACTCAGCTCCACTAAGGCCTGGCTTCAATCCCTCCTCGGCTTTGTCTTTCCCATATGACTTGGGGTGGGGGCTGTTCCTTCTGTGTCCTTGTAGTAGGCAGCATAATGGCCCCTCACCTAAGATGTCCCACCCTACCCTGGCCAGTGTGGCTCAGGGGTTGGGTGTCATCCCACACACCAAAGGGTTGCCGGTTTGATTCCTGGTCAGGGCACATGCCCAGGTTGTGGGCTCAATCCCTGGTGGGGGAATGGAGGAGACAGCTGGTCGATGTTTCTTTCTCTCCCTCTCCCTCCCTCTCTCTTCAAAAAATCAATTTAAAAAATGATGTCCCAACTAATCCATGGAACCTGTGGCTGTGTGACCTTACAGGCAAAAGGGGGTTGCAGAGGTAATTAAGTTGAGGAGCTTGAGCTGGTGGGATGGCCCTGAGTCATCCAGGTGGGCCCCGGATCTCATCACAGTGGTCCTTGAAGGGAGATGTGACTACAGTACTTGGCTGCGTTGTGACCCCTGAAGCCAGCTGCTACCCTGCTGGCTTTGAAGATGGAGGAAGGAGCCTCAGCATGGACTCCGGCGGCACTAAAAGCTGGAAAAGGCAAAGAAACAGATTCTCCCCTAGAGTCTCTGGAGTGAGCACAGCCCACCTGACACCTTAATTTCAGTCCAGTAGAACGAATCGAAGACCTCTGGCCTCCATACTGCAAGAGGATAAGCATGTACTATTGTTTTAGGCCCACCGAGTCGATGATGATTTGTTAACAGCAACCGTGGGAACAAACAGCCCTCCTCGGAGAAACGGGATCACAGCCCTGCCTCTCCCAGCTCAATGCCCTTCTGTGGGGACAATCCATCCCTCAGCCTGGCCTGGGCCCGGCTTTTCTAGGCTACTGGAGCTCCATCTAGTGGCCATAAAGATAACAGCAGCAGCCATTTAAGTCCAGGCCTGTTCTTGGCTGTTTTGCCACTTATTTCTGGAACGTTCCAGAAAATGGGTTGTTTTGCCACTTATTTCCAGAACATTCCAGAAACTGTCCACTTTTCTCAGCCCCACTATCATTCTTCAAGGTCTCGATTCCCACCATCTACCTCTCACGCTTGACAGCAGGGTTTCTCAGCTCCGCGCTCTTGCCATCTGGGGCTGGATAACTCTTTGCCTGGGGGCTGCGTGTGCATTGTATGATGTTGAGCAGCATCCCCGGCCCATGTCCACTAGATGCCGGTAGACCTCCCTTAGTTGTGACAGCCAAAAATGTCTTTATACATTGACAGTTGTCCCCTGTGGGCCACAGTCGCCCCAGGATGAGAACCCCGGCTATACCGTCTATTCCCTGCACAACAGCTGTATTCGCTTCCTATCGCTTCTGTATAACAATCACAAACTTAGCCCTGGACGGTTTGGCTCAGCGGTTAGAGCATCAGACCGTGGACCAGAGAGTCCCGGTTCAGTTCCCGCTAAGGGCACGTACCTCAGTTGCAGTTTGTCCCCAGCCCTGGTTGGGGTCGTGCGGGTGGCAGCCAGTTGATGTGTCTCTCTCTTTTTTTTTTTTTCTTTTTTTTTTAATCCTCACCCGAGGATATTTTTCCATATTTTGTGCAGATAGAGTGGGAGGGAGAGAGAGAAAGAGAAACATCGACATGAAAGGGACACATCGAGTGGTTGCCACCCACACGACCCAACCAGGACCGGGGACAAACTGCAACCGAGGTACGTGCCCTTAGCGGGTACCAAACCCGGGTCTCTCTGGACCGCAGGCCGACGCTCCAACCACTGAGCCAAACCGGCCAGGGCGATGTGTCTCTCTTGCATCGATGTTTCTCTCTGTCTCTTTCTTCCTTTCTCCCTCCTGCTCTATCTGAAGATAAACGCCAAAAATTAATAAATAAAAACAATCACAAACTTAGTAGCTTAACACGAATTTATTATTCAGTGTAGGTCAGAAGTCACGAAAGGGGCTTATTGGGTGTGTTCGTTTCCTGAGGCTGTTGTAACAAACTGCTGCGGACTCGGCGGCTTACAACGGCAGATATGTACCGTCACAGTCCTGGGGGCCGGGAGTCCAAAACTGGTGTCACGGGGTCAAAACCAAGGTTTTGGCAGGGCTGTGCTCTCTTCAGAGGCTATCGGGAAAAACCTGCTCCTCGCCTCTTCCAGCTTCTGGAGGCCGCCAGCATTCCTTGGCTCATAGACACATCACTCCAGTCTCTGGATGTTTTCTGTAGCCTTAGAAAAACACCAATCGCTGGATTCAGGGCCTGCCCTAATCTAGTAGGGCCTCAACTAATTACATCTGCAAAGATGCTATTTTTAAATAAGATCATGTTCTGAGGTTCTGAGTGGGCATGGATTTTGGGGGGACACCATTGAACCTAGTGTAGTATTGTTACCTCTGTTTTTATAGAGGCAGAAATTGAGGCACAGAGAGGCGGAATAGCCTGCCCAAGATCACATGGTTAGTTCCTTTGTTCACACAGCAGAGCCTGGATTTGAATTCTAGGCAAAATAATTAGAGACCTCACGTTCTTTACCACCGAGCTGTGCTGCTTTTCATGTTAAATACACCTTACGTGTTTTTCTTATTACTTATTCCTCCAAGATCTTGACATTGTGGAGGACTTGGAAGAGTGTGTTCAATTGCTGTTGTGTAACTGTCCTAATCTCTTGTAAACAAAGAGACGAGGCTGTGTTATGGGGCAAGAGTAGGTCAGAGACTGAGTAGTGAGTTCAGGACCTGAGACCCAGGACAGGGTGGAGGTTGGGCCAGGTTCAGAGTCAAAGGCCTGGGACTTGGAGGTTGGAATTTGACGCTGGACATGGAGGTGAGAGGACAGTGACCATCTGCCTTTCCCCAGGCCACCCGGGACCTTGCCCAGTACGACGCAGCCCATCATGAAGAATTCAAACGCTACGAGATGCTCAAGGAGCACGAGAGACGCCGTTACCTGGAGTCACTGGGAGAGGAGCAGAGAAAGGAGGCAGAGAGGAAGCTGGAAGAGCAACAGCGACGGCACCGAGAGCACCCGAAAGTCAATGTGCCTGTAAGGACCCTCATTCATGCCCCCCTCCCCCACGCTCAATTCCCCAACTTCCACAAGGCAAGAATGTAGCTGAAAACGACAACTCCCAGCAGACCCTGAGGCAAAAGTGTCTTTTAATGTACCCATCTATGCCCTGGCCGGTTTGGCTCAGCGGTTAGAGCATCGGCCTGCAGTCCAGAGAGACCCGGGTTCGGTTCCCCCTAAGGGCAGGTACCTCGGTTGCAGTTTGTCCCTGGCCCTGGTTGGTTGTGCGGGTGGCGACCACTCGATGTGTCCCTTTCACATCGATGTTTCTCTCTCTCTCTGTTCCTCTCTCTCCCTCCCACTCTATCTGAACAAAGAATGGAAAAATGTCCTCGGGTGAGGATGATTAAAAAAAAAAAAAAAAAAAAATGTACCCATCTATGCCCAGGGGCTTCTGGGAGTTGTAGTTTTCTTATTTGAGGGATGGGGTTAGAAGGGGTTCTCTAGCTTCATCCCGTAGGACCTGAACTTCTTGCTCATGAGCCCCTGACTCTCCTCTCTACAGGGCAGCCAAGCCCAGTTGAAGGAAGTGTGGGAGGAGCTGGATGGATTGGACCCCAACAGGTTTAACCCCAAGACCTTCTTCATACTGCATGGTAAGGTGGGGAGGGGGTCCTAAGACCCAGGCTGAACTCTGAGGCTCTGACTTCCGGGGGCCTGAATGCTAAGAAGGGGTCTCCCCATCTCTGTGGAGCTTAGGCAGGCCAAACGGGTCTGAGCCCATCTCCCCTGGTGGTCTAGATTGCTAGGCTGTTCCATGGGAGAAGTAGGCCTCTTCTGGGGTACACCTCACCTCTGGGTTCTGAAAACTGGCCGGTATCTTATAACTGAGCAACCCAGGCCTTCCTAGGCCGGGCCTCCTCCCAGAAACTCTGGTTCCTGCCAGGAGCTCCGTTCCTGAGGGTGGGCTGCTCCCGAGGAAACAGGCCTGCAGGGAACCCCTCCTTCCTGGCTGTTCAGAGACGTATCCCCCTTCATCCTCTTCCTGTCTGGACACATAGTCCAGGCTTGCCCCCTGCCCCCAGGTGTGCCCAGGACCCCAACCCAGAAGCTGTAACCTGTCACCAGAACTTAGCAGGGCCTTGTTCATTCGTTCGGTAAATGTTAACTAAGCAACTTCTAAGGACCAAGCTTCAAGGAGACCCTGTGGCCACAGCTGTGAACAAACAAAGCCCCCCTCACAGAGCCAGTGACCCCACAAACAGGTTCATCTTCCTTTCAGGGAATCCACAAGACTAGCATGCAAGATACACTGGAAATTTTACATAAGCAGTTACACGGGTGCACCGTCGATGATATGATCCCCCCCAATTTCAGGGACGATGAAATATGGTGAGACATCTTAGAATCAGGGAAGTAGGTTCTATAGTTGAGTCTCAGGCAGTGACATGTACTGTGGAAATAAGGACCAGAGGATTAAGGGCCCAGAGTGACAGTTTTTGGTGGCCTGGCCGGGAAAGGTTTTGCTAGACCATCATTGTCTAATAGAACTCTCCACAATGTTCTGGGTTCAAATGTTCTATGTGTAGCAGCCACCAGCCTCGGGTGACGTGCAGCGCTTGGAATGCGGCCAGACTAAGGAACTGAATCTTTCTTTAGTTTTGGTCAATTTTTTAAGACTTGTGATTCTGGTCAAATACATATGATGTCACATTTCCCATCTCAGCCGTCTTTAAGTGTCCAGTTCAGCTCAGTAAGTCCACTCCCACTGTGTGTGACCGGTCTCCAGATCTCTTTTCCTTCCTGTGATACTGAAACTCTTTATTTTTTATTTTAATTTTTTTTCTGTATTGATCTTTAGAGAGAGAGGAAGGGAGAGGGGGAGAGAGATAGAAACATCGATGAGAGAGAACATCAACTGGCTACCTCCTGCATGCCCCCCACTGGGGATCGGGCTCACAATCTGGGCATGTGTCCTGACCGGGAATCGAACCTGTGACCTCTTGGTGCATAGGTAGAAGCTCAACCACTGAGCCACACCGCCTGGGCTGAAACTCTTTATTAATTAGCAACCCTCCAGTACTCCTCCCCCAGCCCCAGGTAACCTCTGTTCTCGTTTCTGTCTATGAATCTGACTACTCTAGCTACCTCATAGAAGGAAAATCACATCGTATTTGTCCCTTTGTGGCACCGTGTCGAGGAAATGAATTTTCATTGGATTGTCATGATTTCAGTTCATTGGCCCCATGTGGCTAGTGACTGCTGTGTTGGACAGCACAGCTCTGGAGAGGTGCCGTTGAACAGAGACCTCAGTGAATGGGGGCTGCAGCTCGCAGAGATTCGGGAGGAAGCGCGTTCTAGGTGGAGGGAACAGTGAGCACGCGCAGGGAAGCGAGGACTTGGTCCAGCCAAGATCACAGCCAGGGTAAGGAGTTTGGACTTTATTCTGTCGTTGGGACACCACAAAAGGGCTTTGAGCATAGGACTGACACCCTCTGCCTTTGGGGTTGACAGACTCCAGCTGGGTGCTGTGTCAAGGACAGATTTGTAGGTGTGAGGGCCGGATCCAGGGGCCTTGTAAGAAATCACAAGATGCCCTGGCTGTTTTGCTCAGTGGTTAGAGCGTCAGCCTGTGGACCAATGAGTCTCGAGTTTGAGTCCGGTCAAGGGCAAGGAAGGAAGGAAGGGAGGGAGGGAGGGAGGGAGGGAGGGAGAGAGAGAAAGAAAAGAAAAGAGAGAGAGAGAAAGAAAGAAAGGAAGGAAGGAAGGAAGGAAGGAAGGAAGGAAGGAAGGAAGGAAGGAAGGAAGGAAGGAAGGAAGGAAGGAAAGGAAGGAAAGGAAGGAAGGAAAGGAAGGAAGGAAGGAAGGAAGGAAGGAAGGAAGGAAGGAAGGAAGGAAGGAAGGAAGGAAGGAAGGAAATCACAAGAGGCTGGTGTGGCTGGACCACCTGAAAGAAGGAAGAGTGGTCGGTTTCTGGATTCATCTCGAAGGTCTGGTGGGACTTGCTGATGGACCAGATGGATGTTATGAAGGAATACAAGGCTCAAGGGTGACTCCAAGGTATTTGGCCTGAGAAACTGGGAAAAGAGAGTGGAAAGAACAAGCATGTTTGGCAGGGCAGATTGGGAACTGGGTGTGCTTATCCCAGTAGAGACGTCTGGTAGACCCATGCGTGTGGGTGGAGAGTAAACAGCTGGCTGTTCAGGTGCGGAGGCAGCTTACGGATAGCATCGAAAGCTGAGGGGCTGGGGGAACCCATCCAAGGAAGTGCCGGCCAGTAGCTCTCTCTTTGTGCCCTGGCCAGTGTGGCTCAGTTGGCTGGGCATCATCCTGTGCACTGAGAGGTCGCCGGTTCGATTCCCAGTCAGGGCACATGCCCAGGTTGCAGGCTCGATCCCCCGCTGGGAGTGTGCGGGAGGCAGCCGCTCTGTGTCTCGCTCTCACATCGATGTTTCTCTCTTTCTTTCTTTCTCTTCCCCTCTCTCTAAAAATCAATAAAAAGAGCTTTTTAAGTAGCACTCTTTTTGTAATGATGGAAAATGTCCTGTGCCACCCGGCATGGCACCCAATGGCCACATTTGGCTAGTCAGCACTTGACTTGTAGCAAGTAAGACTGATAAACTGAATTTTTTTTTAAAGTTTTTAAAATTGAATTGAGAGAGAGAGAGAAACATCAGTTTGTTGTTCCGCTTATTTATTCATTCATGGGTTGACTGACCGGGGATTGAACCTGCAACCTTGGCGTATCAGAACAGCGTTCTCACCAACTGAGCTACCTGGCCAGGGTGATAAGCTTAATTTTTCATCTTATTTAATATTAATATTAATCAGTTTAAATTTGAACAGCCCATGCCCTGGCCGGTTTGGCTCAGCGGTTAGAGCATCAACCTGCGGTCCAGAGAGACCCGGGTTCGGTTCCCGCTAAGGGCACGTACCTCGGTTGCAGTTTGTCCCCGGCCCTGGTTGGGTCGTGTGGGTGGCAGCCACTCGATGTGTCCCTTCACGTCGATGTTTCTCTCTCTCCCTCTCTTCCTCGCTCTCCCTCCCACTCTATCTGAACAAAAAATAGAAAAATGTCCTCGGGTGAAGATTAAAAAAAAAAAAAATTTTGAACAGCCCGTATAGCTAGTGGCTACCATATTGGACAGATTTGAAGATTAAACAGAGAAGATGCCCCAGGCCTGAGCCCTGGGATAGACCAAGGGGTAGAGTCAGGAGGAAGGGGTCAAAGGAGAAAGAGGGGTAGCGGGAGAGGAGAGAATGATGTTCTGGAAACCACGGGCAGAACCAAGTTAAATGTAGGGTAAAGTTAACCATTGGTTTCGCAAGGCCGGGGGTCTGGCCACCGCAGCAGGGTCACGTGGGTGCTGAGCGGCGTGAGCAGAGGAGGTGGAGACTGAGCACAGCCCACGCGGCTGTGAGCGGGACTGGCCGGAGGAGGCTCCTGGCAACTGGAGTTGGCGCTGGCCTCGCTCTCTGGCAGGCAGAGGCCCCCGAGCCCCTGGCAAAGCGGTTGATCCCGTGCCTATATAACCAGGTGCTAGGGATCAAGTCATCCTGCATGACAGCGGCCCCAAGAATGGGCCCAGTGAAGCCCCACCTTCGTCTCCATTCTCGGGACCCTGGTTGCTAAGGGATGGACTGTCCTCGCAACGGGTCTGTGGGGCACTGAAGCTGGAGGCCACCATTCTACCATTGGAGACGTGTTACCTGTCCTCTGAAACAGACCCCACATCAGCCCAATTCCTCGTCCAGGTGGTCTCAGGGAGCTGACCGGCCCCGGCCTCGGTCCCCCAAGGTAACCTTGTTGTCTCTCCCTCAGATATCAACAGTGATGGGGTCCTGGACGAGCAGGAGCTCGAGGCCCTGTTCACCAAGGAGGTGGGTGTCCAGGAAGCCAAGACCACAGGGGATGCCCGCATCAGCCCCGTGGTCCTTCCTTAGGGCCCCCTCCATGTAAATTCAGGGAAAACTACAACTCCCAGCAGCCCCCGGGGGGGCGGGCAAAAAAAAAAGGCTGCCAGGACTAACGGGCGTCTGCTTGGGTGTGTAAGGAGGGGGGGGCTGGGAAAGTGGCTGCCCTGGACCTCTCGAGATGTCTCACCTCCCGCTTGGCCCTGCAGCTGGAGAAGGTGTATGACCCAAAGAACGAGGAGGACGACATGCGGGAGATGGAGGAGGAGCGGCTGCGCATGCGGGAGCATGTGATGAAGAACGTGAGGAGGGCCAGGCGAGGGGAGGTGGTGGAGGGAGGCCACCCCTCGTGCTTACCCTTGCCCGGCTCCCCAGGTGGACACAAACCAGGACCGCCTTGTGACCCTGGAGGAGTTCCTGGTCTCCACCCAGAGGAAGGAGTTTGGGGACACTGGGGAGGGCTGGGAGGTAAGGATGTGGGGAGTTATCGGATCCTGAGTGTGTCTCCGCCCTAAGCCTTCTTTCAGGGTTCCTGGCCACTCTTACTCACTGGGTCTCTGCCCACTGCCCTTCACCCGGGTCACTGTCCCCTTCGCCCTCTGGGTGTCTGTCCCTGCTGCATACACGCACACCGTGCCTGTTGTCCGCTCTCTGGGTCTTCATCCCCTCCCCGGCACCCACACCTGCACCCAGGGCCCTCTCCAGCAGGGTGGGCCCAGCCTGCTCACTCCTGTGCCCACCCTGCAGACCGTGGAGATGCATCCTGCCTACACGGAGGAGGAGCTGAGGCGATTCGAGGAGGAGCTGGCGGCCCGGGAGGCAGAGCTGAACGCCAAGGCCCAGCGCCTGAGCCAGGAGACCGAGGCTCTGGGGCGCTCGCAGGGCCGCCTGGAGGCCCAGAAGAGAGAGCTGCAGCAGGTGCCCTGGTGGCCCTTGTCCTTGTGTGTCAGGCTGGGAAGGCCTGTGCTAGTCACTAACAGATCCGCATGTGGCAGCTGCCATCCGAGTGAGGGCAGACGACGCCCTGACAGCCCCCCGGCTGCCATATTGGTTAAGGGCAGGGCCGTGAGGAGGAGAAGGGTCGATTCCAGCAAGAGGGCTTCCCTGTCCCAAGTTGCAACTCAAGCCGTGACAAGGGAGGGAGAGTTGGATCTTTAGTATTAAGTCCAAGTGTCAGTGAGGGAGAAGAACAGACCCATAGAGAAAAGACTAGGAGCACTTGGCAGGATGGGGGACTCAGCATCACACCCTCTTATTGCCTTGCAACCCCTGTGCCCCCCCAGGCCGTTCTGCAGATGGAACAGAGGAAGCAGCAGCAGCAAGGCCACAATGCCCCAGCGCCTGGCCCCGAGGGACAGCTCAAGTTCCAACCACACAACACAGGTGGTGGCCCCGCACCAGGGAGGAGGGAAGGACTGGGGCCCACTCCTGGGTCTGATGGAGGGGAGGCTGGGGGCCCGGACTCCGGGGTCTGAAGGAGGAGGGCTGGGGGCCCGGGCTCCTGGGTCCGAGGGAGGAGGGGCTGGGGGCCCGGGCTCCTGGGTCCGAGGGAGGAGGGCTGGGGGCCCGGGCTCCTGGGTCCGAGGGAAGAGGGCTGGGGGCCCGGGCTCCTGGGTCTGAGGGAGGAGGGGCTGGGGGCCCGGACTCCTGGGTCCGAGGGAGGAGGGGCTGGGGGCCCGGACTCCTGGGTCCGAGGGAGGAGGAGCTGGGGGCCCGGACTCCTGGGTCCGAGGGAGGAGGAGCTGGGGGCCTGGACTCCTGGGTCCGAGGGAGGAGAGCTGGGGGCCCGGGCTCCTGGGTCCGAGGGAGGAGGGCTGGGGGCCCGGGCTCCTGGGTCTGAGGGAGGAGGGCTGGGATGTCTAGTACTACCATTTTCTCCCTTCATTTCCAGATGATGCTCCTGTCCCAGCTCCAGCAGGTGACCACAAGGATGAGGCTGCTTCAGAAAAGAAGGTTCCTGAACATCCCCCCGAGCTGCCCCAGCTGGATTCCCAGCACCTGTGACCCTCCAGGACTGGCACTCTGGGTTCCTACCCGGCAGCCGTGGGACAATGGGGAAGAGTCACAGTCAGCCTCCTCTGAGGACGTCACGTGTGGCCTGCTAGGGGAAGCGGACAGAGTGACCCTTCCCACATTGCTGCCCAGGCCCCATATCTGCTGCTTCAGCTTCCACAGCCTCCCCGTCTGTGGTCCCTTCCCCGCGCCCTCCAGGGACCTGCCTGCTCGTGGTCAGTGGGGCACTCACAGGGTCAGCCAGCCTAGGGAAGCCTCCTCCCTCCTGAGGGGTGTGCTGTGTCCCCACCTTCCTAGGTGGCCTGGCTCCGCTGCCCGAGTTTGGGGCCACTCCAGCATCCTGCACCCCACAGCTGCTGGGATTCCGCCTGCTGCTCGGGGTCCCACTTCTGCTGGTTTATGAGGCTGGGGTGGTTTCCTGAGCCCTTTCTCTACCTTTTGTGGCACCAGCGACACCTCAAAGACTATCCACCCCATGGCTGGGTCAGGGGCAACAGAGTCCTCAGCAGAGCTGATCAACTCTGATACCTGGAGCCCCGGCTGTCCCTGACCGCTGGCTTTCAGCCACCTCAGCCTCCTCCCTGATGGCTTGGCCCCTGGCCCTTCCCCACACAGCCACAGAAGGGTCCCAGAGCTGACCCGCCCCAGGACCAGGTTCCAGCCCATCAGCCTCAGTGGGAGGCCCATGCCCTCCTGTCTAGCCTTATCTTAGACTGCTGTGTGTCCTGCTGTGTACTCCAGTTCCATCCAAATACACTTCCTGGAACAAATCCATGCGTCTGTGTCTTTGTGTATACTGTTCCCTCTGAAACCCCATCCCCACTTCACCTGCCTAAGTCCTTCTCATTCTTTTTTTTTATCCTCATCCAAGGACATTTTTGCATCTATCTTGAGATAGAGAGGGAGGAAGAGAGAGAAACATCGATGTGAGAGCGACACATTGAGTGGTTGCCACCCACATGACCCCAACCGGGGCCGGGGACAAACTGCAACTGAAGTACGTGCCCTAAGCAGGAAGCGAACCCAGGCCTCTCTGGTCCGCGGGCTGACGCTCCAACCACTGAGCCAAACCGGCCAAATCTCATTCTTTAAGATTCAGTTCAAACATTCCTGAGAGGCTGCCTCCTGACATCCTTCTGTTCTCTCCTGATGAGTCTACTGCCTGCCTGCATACACACACACACACACACACACACACACACATCTTCAGCAGGGTCCTTTCAGCCACAAGGACAGAAAACCCAAATCTAGGCTTAAACAATAGATGTGGATTAACCAAAACAAGAAGTCCCAAGGTAGGGTGGCTCCAAGGCCCTCGGGGAATCAGGTTCTCCCATCTAGCTCTGCAGTGGTAGGTGTGGGGATGTTGCAACCCTCTTGTCCCAAAGTGGCTGCAGCTGCTCCGAATGGCACCCCTGTCTTCACCGACTGCCGGTGAAGGAACTTAACAAAGGCTACATTATGAGTCACCCCCACCTGCCCATTCCCCTAGAGCTGGTATACCAACACAGCACCAGACATGGGGTAAGTCTGGTTTGGCATCCACAGAGGGGGAACGAGGCTCTGGGAGGCTCATTAACACAAATTCCCAAATCCTGGAGGGTCCTGGGTAGTCAGCTGTGCCATACTACACCCCCACACACACACTCTCACCCCCATTAGCTGAACTTTAATGACAATTATCTGTTTCTCTCGGAAAACTGGGAGCTGAGCTCAGTGATCTAATCTGGAAAATAGGCATAAAGTGGTAGTGGCCTTCCAGCATTTAAAAAATTTTTTTTAATTTCTTGATTGATTTTAGAGAGAGAGGGAGAGAGAGAGAGAAACATTGATGTGAGAGTGAAACACTTATTTCCTCCCAGTGAGACCCATTTTGGACTTATGATGTCCAGAAGTGTAAAAGAATATGTATTGTTTTAAGCCACAAAATTTGTGCTTATTTATTACAGCAGCTGCGGGAAACTAATACAGTCTTTCTCCTCTCTCTGGGTCTCTGTCCCTCCCACCTCCCTTCTCTGCGTCTTAATTCATTCTCTTCACTAAAACACTCTAAACTCTTACAGTTCTGGGGGTCAGAAGTATAAAATGGGTCTTAATGAAAATGGGTCTTAATGAAAATCAAGGTGTGTGGGGGGCTGTATTCTCTCTGAAGTTCTAGGGGAGCATCTGTTTCCTTGCTTTTCTGGCTTCTAGTGGCTGCCTGTATCCCTTGGCTCATGACCCCTCCCTCCAGCGTCAGTCACAACGTAGCACCCTCCAACCTCTCTCTTCCTTTCTTCCCTGGTCACATTTTCTCTGACTCTGACCCTCCTGTCTCCATTTTTTCTTTATTGATTTTAGAGAGAAAGGGAGAGGAAGAGAGAGATAAAAACATCAATGAGAGAGAACATCAATTGGCCGCCTCCTGCATGCCCCCCACTGGGGATTTGGCCCACAGCCTGGGCATGTGCCCTGACTGGGAATCGAACCAGCGACCTCTGGGTGCATGGGTCGACGCTCAACCACTGAGCCACACCGGCCGGGCCACACTGGCCTTTTCTTCAGCCCTTAGAACATACCTAGGTTTCCCCCATCTCTGAGCCTTTGCTCATGCTGTCCCCTCTGTCGCTATTCCCCTCGCCATCAACCCCGCTGGACCGATAGCTGCATGAGGACACAGAAAGCCTCTGTCTCATTTCTGTTATGTCCCAGGACCTGGCACAGGTTAGATGCTCAATAAATATTTGTATTTCATTGGGAGCAGTGTCTGGTGAATGACCCGGAAGCTCTCTTTCTGGCATTCCCGGCTGTGAGCTGTCTGGGACAGGGTCTTCACCTCTCACGTGATCTCAGCTTCCTCCACCGTCTCCGAATGGCATTGCCAGCAAGTCCTGAAAGGCGCTGCTGGCTCCCAAACTCACCAGGTGGGTATGCAAGCTCAGACTGGATTTGCCACACTTCCAACATCATTGTTTTGCTGGTCTCGAAAAGAGAGCCAGAGTTAGGAAGTGCCCTGGCCCGTGTGGCTCAGTTGGTTGAGTGTTGTCCTGTGAATCAGGAGGTTGCTGGTTCGATTCCCAGTTGGGGCATAAGCTTGGGTTTCGGGTTTGATCTCCAGCAGGGGGCGTGCAGGAGGCAGCTGATGCATGTTACCCTCTCACATTGATGTTTCTCTCTCCCTCTCTAAAAAAATCAATAAAAAAAAATTTTAAACAAACTGAGAGTTAGGAAGCGGGTGTCTTTCTTGGAGTAAAGGCCCATGGTGCAGCAAGCTGAGCCCCAGCCAAGCAGCCCTCGCCAGAGGACATCAAGGAGACGGTCTCTGACCCTCCGCCTCTAAACCCCACTTCACGGTGTGCCCTCTGTTAATTCTCTGCCTCTCACCCTGGTCCCACAAACACTGTCTTGTGCTTAATCCTTGGTCTGCCTCCCAGGGAAGGAAGGTGCTGACCCGTTGAGCAAGGGATTCCTGTCTCAGGCCAGTGATCTTCCCTTACTTAGTATGAACTCAATCAAACAGAGCAGACACAGTGCGTGGGGCCACACTGGTTAGGTATCAATCCCGACCCTCCCACTTGCTGACTGTGTGACTTTGGGCAAGATTCTTGACCTGTCTGTGCCTCAGTGTCTTCATCTGTAAAATGAGGCTAATAACACGACAGAGGGGGGCTGTGAAGATTATGTGGGTTAATATTCAGGAAGCCTTTAGAATAGAGGCAGGCATGGGTGACCCTGGAAAGAGCTTTGTGGAATAGAGTCACGGACACGGAAAGATGTAGAAAAGTAGAGAGAAATTGCAAACACTCTTCGGCACATTGCCCAGATCCTCCGAGCCTTAATATAGCGCCATGATTGTTTCCGATTGCTTTTCTTTTTTCTTTTTCAGTTGATTTGAGAGAGAGAGGAAGAAAGAGAGAGACAAATATTGATTTGTTTTTCCACTTATTTATGCACTGATTGATTGATTGATTCTCCACACACACACCCCTTTTTTTGGTTAATCCTCACCTGAGGATAATTTTTTAAAATATGTTTTTATTGATTTTTTTTAGAGAGAGAGGAGGGGGAGAGATAGAAACATCGATGTGAGTGAGAAACATTGATTGGCTACCTCCTGCACGCCCCTTACTGGAGTTGGAGCCCGCTGCCCAGGCATGTACCCCGACCAGGAATCGACCTGGGACCTCTCAGTCCATGGGAGGACACTCAATCCACTGGGCCACACCAGCTGGGCCTCACCAGCTGGGCCTGAGGATTTTTTTCCATTGAATTTTTGAGAGAGTGAAAGGGAGGGAGGGGGGAGAGAGAGAGAAAAAAAAACCATCAATGTGAGAGAGACACATCAAGTGGTTGCCTCCCATGTGCACCCTGACCAAGGCCAGGATTGAACCTGCAACCTACGTACATGCTCTTGACCAGGAATCAAACTTGCAACCGATGCTCAAACCACTGAGCCACAACAGACAACACCCTCCTCCCTTTTGAATCCTCACTGCAAGATATGTTCTTATAATTATTATTATTATTTTTTTTTTAGAAAGTAAGGGAGAGAGAGAGAGAAACATAGATATGAGAGAGAAACATCGATTGCTTGCCTCCTGGACATGCCCCAACAGGGAATTGAACCCACAACCTGGATATGGACCCTGACCAGCTACCTTTCAGTGTACAGGACAATGCTCCTAGCAACTGAGTCACACTAGCCAGAGCAGTCACGTGCCACCCCCACCCCCCCACTGAGATGTTAGAGTTAGTTTATTCATTTTCCTTGCTACGTGGTATCCTGCTGTTAGAACTTGCCACATGTATTTGCCACTGTTTTGTTCCTGGTGTCTGTTTCCAGTTTTGAGCTGTCACACCAAAACTGCAATAAATGTTCTTACACCTGTCTTCTCCTCCACAGTTTTGAGTTTCTACCCAGGGTAGAAATCGCTAGACCATGTCCTACCGTCATTTTCTACTTTACCGGATATGATCTCTCTGGGTACATGAACTCACTGCCAGCAATTTTAAAGTGTAAATTTTTATTCAAATGGATTAAGAGGTTGCAAAAAATAGAACAGATAGTTCTTTCGTACCTGACACCCAGCTTCCCCTCAGTGATATCTTAGGAACTATAGTACATACTTCTCAAAGCCAGGAATTGATATATTATTTAATCAGAGATCTGATTTTGATTTCATCAGCACTTGTAATTTCTAGGAAATTTTATCAGAAGTGAGGATTTGGGTATCCATCATCACAATCAGTACACAGAACTGTTCCATCCCACAAAGACACTCCCTTGTGTTCCCCCTAAATAATTTCACCTACCCCCAAACCCTACCCAGGGTGGTTGGTCTCTTCTCCAATACTATAACTTTTTCACGTCGAGAATGTTCTATAAATGGGAATCATACACCATGCAACCCTTTGAAATTGTGTGTGTGTGTGTGTGTGTGTGTGTGTGTGTGCACGCGCGCGTGCCATGGTCAGTTTGGCTTAGCAGTTAGAGCATTGGCCCGCCGACCAGCGAGGCCCAGGTTCGGTTCCCGCTAAGGGCACGTGCCTCGGCTGCAGTTTGTGTCTCTCTGACATCGATGTTTCGCTCTCTCTCTTCCTCTCTCCCTCCTGCTCTATCTGAAGATAAATGCAAAAAAAAAAAAAAAAGTGAAATTGGGTGTGTGTTATTTTCACTCTACATAATGCCCTTGAGATCCATTCTAGTTGTTCTTTGTATCAACTGCTCGTTCCTTCTTATTGCTAAGTGGTATTTCATTGTATCTATATACCAGTTTGTTTA